GCTATCTCCGTCAGGGATCATCTCCCGATGATTGGCCGAGCTGTATCGATCTGCAACAGGGATTTCCTATATAGGTATCTTTGATCTGGCGCTAGCTGGCGGGGTATATGTTTTGCATTTTATATATATAGCTTTTATTTTTTTTAAAAAAAAGGTTAAAGCCTTGTTGAAAAAGGTACCCCGGCTCCCGATCAAGTGTAATTAAGGCGAGTACAAAGCTTAAGAACTTTATCAGATCTACATATATCAGCACGGAATTTGGGATTTAGCGCTAGTCCAAGGTTGAGTCGTCGTAATAGAACCAATAAGTGCTCCTACATGAATCCTAATGAGTGCTTATTTTTCTAATATCTTAGTAGAGTACGTACATGTATATGTAGGATAATCCTGAATCGCAAAGCTCCGAGATTTCTGTCGACTGTGTAACTGATTTGAAAGTTAGACTACCACACAGCTGCACCTCACGAATTTTTACAGCTGAACTGAACCTTCCACATCCTAAACTTGAATGCAAGCCTTTATAATAATTTATATCCATATATCAAATGCAATGAAATCTACAACAGGTAAATGAACACCAAAAGATAGGTAGTCATCAGAGTATCTATACCCAATATAGTTAAACTTTTTTTTATTATAGAAAAGACCTGCCAATGAGAATCGCTCTTTAGATATAGTTACGCCTTTTCTTGAAAAAAGACAAAATCTAGAACGGTCTTCAACTTTGTCACGATTGGCGTGTGTAATAAATTGATCAATTGACGATCTTTACACTTTCTTTTTCGGCTACCGGTGCTGATAACCTTACCCAATCAAGTGATAGAAAATCGGCATGAGGACCTTGGTGTTTTGAGAGAACTGCCTTTCCTCAAGGTTCCGGTACTACCGAAGTGCTCTGCCTCGAAGGGATTCAGCCCCGGCATATCAAGGAAGTATTTCCAAAATCCCGAGGAATTTTCAGACATAAATAGGAGCACCTTTGCCGGAAATCTTGAAAGAAATTCATATCTACCAAACTAGTGTTCACCTTCATCATGCCGTGCACTACAACTCTCCCAGTACCAACTTTCAAAGAATCCATCGTCCAACACCATAGAACAGATGGTTACTGGATCGAAACCTACTGGGTCGATCCCGAGGATAAGGTTCCAGGTCTCATCGGGTAGGGCAAACTCAGGATATATCCGTCTCATGAACCTTGATGTTAATAGGAATTGAACAACTAGGTACGGCCTAGGAGTCGGTGATATATGTATCTTCGATAACCCGCTCAACGGTGGTCCTAAAGAAGCTGATGGTGGTAAGTCATGAGATATATTAGTATTTGAACGAGAACAGACCTTACTGACAATTCATTTCTTCAAGGTTGGAAATCTTACTGTGTTAAGAAACTTAACTCTCCTGTCGCCGTCGCTACTGGAAATTGTGCTGGGGCTGGCCGCAACGACATCGTCATATGCTATGAATATGGGCAAACATTTTTGACTGCTAATCCCCAGGGTGGAGATATAATCTGGTTGGAGAATCCAGGAAGGGACAAGGAGACGAAAACTCTCAAGGTAAATTGGAAGGAAAGGACCATCGGCAGATGGCCAGCTATGCATAGATTGAAAGCTGGATATTTCACCCAGCGGTATGTGCTTTCTCCATGGCCTGAAGACCGCAGAAGCTGATATGAGGGTAAAAAGATCCATCTTAGAGCTTGTCGCTTTACCAAGTGAGTGAATTGGGCCCCCTGTGTCAATATAAGTATTCAGTACTGATACGCATGCAGTTGTGAACGGAATCACTCAGGGTGATATCGTAAGTCGAGTCTTAGACACCCCATTGGATGTCTACTTCTTAACAATTCCATTCAGGATACAGCAGTTCCTATACTCTTGTTTCAAAAGCCAGAGAAGTCCTTAGAAGCGTAAGATATCTAGAACACAGCTTGTTTCAAACGGGGTCTGACATGCGGGAATATATAGTATCGAATGGAATCGGTCAATAATTGACGATCAGTGCTTCACGGTCATCCATGATGCCCCGATCAAGAAGTATTTTTTATCCCATCGCACAGCTGAAAATTGTGAAACTTGGATAGCCTGACGTCCTACAGATTCGAATCGCAAGGTGGCCGTGATTCCCTATTTGTTGCATCCCGTTCGGGAATTGACTGGTTGTGTAAGTTCCTTCAAGATAACGATGACTGGCCCTCAGACACTAATATCAAGTAATAGACTGGGAGGACAGCAAGTGGAAAAAGGAACACATCACAGACGGTGTAGAGCAGAAGCCTGGGATGGACTATTATGGATCCGCTTGTGTTGATGTTGGGAAGCTGGGAAATGATCCTTCCGCCTATGTCATGACCATTGATCCCTTCCATGGTTAGTCACGCCTAAACATCAATTACTAGACCTTGACTTATAATTACAATAATTAGGTGGTGTTGTCTCGGTTGTCACAAAGCAAAAGACTGGACCCGACTCTCATACATGGACCCGTAAGGTTCTTGATATATACGGCACTCCGGAGCAGCGGCAGATGAAAGGCACCGGCACGTATTTCTGAAATTCCCTCCCGGTCTGGTGTATTGAGCTAATTAGAAAAAAGGGCCTGGCCATTATGTTGTATGTGGGGACTTTGATGGTGATGGCGACGATGAATGTCTCGTTGCGATGATGGGACCCTCTCCCTACAAGGTAACTGATACCAACAGCCCCGAATAGTTAACTCTTGTGCCTAATGCTCAACGTGATTCACCGATAGGGAATATTCTATTACAAATGCATTGATCTTGATAACAAAGTGTTTGCAAAGTGGAAGATCTCAGGGGAGTCTGCTGCTCGTCTTGCGATTGGGTAAGTGGCCACCAATTACGTTCTGCATGCTTAATTATTTTTCTAACGTGATTTCCAAAACAGCGATTTCAACAATCATGGGAAATTGGACGTTGCGGCGATCTCTTACAACGTGGAAAAGTATTACGAAGAACCCAACCCTACAATCCGACTCTACACCAATGAGATCGTCAAAAGCGCAAAGAGCCCGCCTACAATTATTGGTACGGTCTGGGGAGGGGAAGCGTTGTACTACGTCCCTAAGCCTACAGAGCTCACGGCTCCACAGACCACCCCGCTCATAAACGTCGCGGGCTATATAATGACACTGGAGATTCATCCTCCTAACACAAGCGTCCCAACAAAAAAAGGAGATGCCATCAAAGTTCTCTACGGCAAAGCTTTAGACGGGGATATTCCGCGCGAACCACTCAATGTTCCCGCGAACGAGAAGGCTTCCGCTATGCTTATTCATGATAAGCTTGACATTCCGAAGGAAGGGTGTATACTCATGCGGATTAGACCAGAGGAGGGGTATAATCCGCATAACCCGGACCTTGCGCCACCAACGTCGGCACATGCAGAAGATACCCGAGTGAAAGTCGAGAACCTATTTGAATTTAGCTACCCGCAGCTGGCACTGCCACAGCCTCTCAAGTTCACTCAAGTTGGAGATCTTGAGTGGGGACAAGCATGGAAGGGTAAGGATTTTAGCAACATGACTGGTATCGACTTCCGATTCTTGGATGGGACACATCTTTGTCACGTACAATATTGGACTATAGGTATACCGAAATCCCACATTCTGCTATCGATTTCTATTACTAAAGATCATATAGGCAAAGCAGTATCTGCTGGTGTGCATAACCATTCTGAAGACACCTTCCTCGAAGTACATCTTTGTCTCGTTCCCGGCACCGGAGATAATACGGGCATGTGGCGCGTTGAACCTGGTTATCCAGTTGATCCAGAAAAACCAAATGATGTTCCAGATGATAAGTTCATCAAGCTTCCGTTGGCAGCCCTAGAACAGCAGGGTGGGTTTTGGGAGAGGGATCGTGATGGGAAGCCCATCTGGTTGGACAATGGAGCTGTCAAGTACCCGTGGCATAAGTGGCAGGCTGATAATAAGAGGGATGGACTCGATGTTTGGATAGCCTTTGAGTATAACCCAGAGCTAGATCTCTAGAGGTTGTATTCTAGTCTTGGGCCTAGAGTCGTTGATGGGCGCGTTTTCCTTTTCACTCAACTGAAGGCCGGTTTAGGCAATGAGGATCATTTCGACATGTAGTAGTCATTGGAATTGAAACTTTTCATATCGAGGGATGACTAGGCCTATCATGTGTGTCTGAATTGGGACATTTATTTCTGTAAAGCACTTTTGCTCCCGATGCCCTTTGACTCGATTAATCCCTTCAAGCGTGAATTGTCGCATTCGTAAATTACATAAGTATATATTTACCCTATGCTATAATTGAAATAATCCCTAACTTTACATGAACGTCTTGGTTCTTTATTCACAAGCCCGCTCTACCCATGTGAATTATATAGACCCAAAAGTAGAAAGCTACACACACAACTTCCATGGTTCACAAAATATCACTCGCGATTTCATATCAGTATTAAACCTAACCCTGAAATTTTATCTCTATAGCGCCATACTATACTGATAGCAACTCCAGAACCAAACAGATAAAAGGAGCCATTATAAAAATTGTGGACCGACATGGTGGTCTATGCACCTAGCTAGATAAGGTTGAGATGTGATTGGTCCTTGATATCACAGAGCAGCTAGTAGACCCCGCCCTGTTCTGTCACGAGCATGCCTAGCCTAGATGGGAACATGAGGCGTCAAGTTTGTGTTCTAATAAGTATATTATCACTACGCACGCGAGTAAAGGTATTATACTAGTAATAATGTTTTACAGTTCATTAAATCTATACATAAACCCAACTCCCCAGAAGCGCCAACGGCACATTACTGTAAATTAGAACAAAATATACTACCGATTCCACATCATGAACCTCTTTTTTGTCCCCATCGTCATGACTCGACCCCGGAACTGGGAAGTCTACACTGTGATTATCGTAAAAGCTGGTCCCCACCTTTGTTTTTGTCACCGTCGCCACCCCAACATTTCCCGTCCCCTCTGACGTCTTATCAACTCTCTCAACTTATCCTAAAGGAATTGAATCTCCCTTTGTCCGAGTAGCCCAATTCTGGTATCCACTAGCGCGGTCCTTTTTACTGTTACGAACACTCTCGATAGTACCAAGTAAGGTGGGAACGAGCTTTTTAAGAAGGGGACGGATGGTAGGTATGGCTATGTTGACTTCAACGCTGTGAAAGTTAGTTAAGTTGTCTCCACTCTATGGTCTATCGACTTACATAGACCAGACGCTTATGTTGACACCACTCTTCCCTGAATTTAATATCAGTTAGTCATCGCTTCAAATATGACAAGTGGAGAGCTTCACGAACATGATGGATCAACCAGAGTGGGTTTTAACACCAGCATTTGAACAAGTGTGATAAGCCTCGCAATAGATGCCACCGGGGCCCTAGGCACAAAGCTCGTCAGTCTTCACTCGCTAAGACTCGTAGTTTTTTCTTTGAGACTCACAAGCAACCCAACAGAAAAACGATATACAAGCCCCATTTCTGGCGCTTTGGTAATTGCGCCTGCATAATTAATCTCAAAGGCAGCAACCACAACACCAAGTCCGTCACAATATTGACTCCCTGTATAGAGTACTGCAGTGGGACATATCCTACACATGTTCCCTTCACAGTCGACATCGGGTTCATTCTTTCCCATCCGTAGTGAATGGGCGTGCATTGGAATATAGAGGCCATCATTATGGATATGGTTGCTGCCGTAGTGATTGTGAAGATTGTCCACGTGAGTCTGATAATTCTGTCCGTAGGAGATAACCGTAGGAGGAGAAGGTTGAGAGAAGCTTTGGTAAATCCTAGGCTGATTATGTACAATACCTGGGATATGTAGACTATCTGTATTGGTTTGTTAGTTAACGTTCACATATATATAGGTATGAAGTGATGGAATGACTGACCTTGGTGATACCAATGAAGTTTAGGATAGAAAAATCCCATGCATGTTTTCCGACACCATAATTCACGCCTAGAAACAGTTAGATTTGAATGACACTTGAATGTAGAGATTGTCAAGCCATGCTTACTCAAACAAGCGGTAACTGTTAATCCTACAGCCGCTGCCTAAGTCCGTCAGTAAAGATGATGCTACTTCTGGTAGATACTTTCACGTCACCATAGAAATAAAACTAGTAGGTGATGGGAGTTGAACTTACAGTTGCAGCCAAAATTGAGTAATCATCTGCGCCAACAAATCCTAACAGAACTGCCCGACTATACATCCGCGAAGAAACGACCACAAATGCAATAATTATTAATGTAATTGTCGGTATTATCAATAACGATCCAATATTCTGCCGTTGATGATGAGAATGATCCATTAATATAATTAGAAGTCGAAGCCGTTTGTGTGAGGTTGAAAGGAATATCCGCCTCCCGTGGTATTAAAATCATACCGACAGCCACGCACCTATGTTAGGATAAATGTATGCAAGAAGCATCCTCTCTAGAGAGGAGAGGACTTATATGACCCCATTTTGTTCTTCCTTAGCCCCTGTGGACAAAGTTCCGCTTACTATTTACTGGGTATTCCCCTCCTCGTTTCTTAAGTACTACGTAGGGTAAGGTTTCGTGTGTGGCTTGCCAAGGTCCTGGAGATGTTTTATTCGAGGTATTCAGCTAATTCCAACTCGGTTTTATGTCACTTCATTCAAGTTCATTGATTTCCGTCATGGAGCGGTAACCACTTAGGGTATCCGATACACACACATCCAAAGTCAACTTTAACCGGGGATTCCTAGTCAAAGTCAAAAAGAATCTTATGTGAGAACCTATATAGCTACCTATAACTATATCATAGACTCGAGTGGCACGAAACCGTGTATGCTCATGCAGGGGGGCGAACTTTGGGGACATCTGCCTTTCTAGGATACTCTACAGTAGGCATCAGGATCCCCGGCAGAGCAAGATCATCTTTACATCTAGATTCGCCAATAATTGACCATTCCTTATCAGGAGAGCTAGAGAGATGAACCCTCGTCCCCGGAGGGATCGCCTGAACTACTTAGACCTGGGAAATTACCGAGAGATCTTTTAGCGGTTTGTCGGTACTCGGGACTGTGAAACGATACTGAATGCTCCATCTCAAGAGTTATTACCGGGTTACAGTTCCAAAAAACGGGTGGGGGTTAGTACGGTAGTACTACGCCATCCCATAAAATCGGGTAGCACTCCGGTTGTCGAGCGAGTAAAGCCGCCTTTCAGCAAATGCTCTATCGATGCCGTATCAATACTGTATTATATAATCTATATATTCCCTGGATTGCGCAGTGTGGGTGGTATATTTATACTGCCCTAATACTTCCGCATTTCCTAAAATACGGCATTCTTGTGGTATTTAGGACAATGCCATTCCCCTAACCCTGGAATATCATATTTGGTGAAGCATTTCAGAATCAAAGCTCACCAGATATTGTTTCATCCACCGATCCATCAATTCTTATCATCCTAGGATGGGGTTTAAACAATTGGGATATACTTTTGAAAAATAAATTTTGGGCTCTTAGGCATACATATACACATCATTTTAATTAGAAGTTGCGTCTACTATTCGATTATGATACGCTCATGTTGGTGATGATGATGATGATGATGATGAAGTCGTATAGGTGTGGTCTAGTCTTGTAACATGGTGTCGACGAGCCTACATGTAGGTGTGGTCCTGGTCATGGACCTGGCGTACTGGCACGCTAGACCTGGTGCTGGCGCACTGGACCTGGCGTACTTGCACGCTGGACCTGGTACTGGCACACTGGACATGGTGCTGGCGCGCTGGACCTGGTGCTGGCCACAACGCTAACATGTGTCTATATTGCTGTGGTAGTGCTACGGTATTGCTATGGTATTGCTACGGCATTCTATGAAAAATATACTCCTTGAAATGCCGAAATGATGCAGCAGTCCCGAAAATACCGCATTGTAGCAAGACTACCGTAGCACTACTATACTAATCCCTGCCCCATTTTTGTATTGTAGCTATACGTACCTCATATGTAGCTAGACAGCAGCGACATCTCTGGTGAAATTGACAGTTCGGAGCGCTGCAGATGCCCACGACACGACAAAAACCTAGGTTCAAACTAGCTGTAGCCGCATGGCTGTGTTATTGTGTGAGGCCAGAATTCAAACGCCTACTACTTGCCACTTGGTCTCGGTTATGTATTCAAACGCTATATTCCCGTTGCACGTCATGGACCCTGGACCGATCTAACCACTAACTGAGTCATGGCTCTCGAGGTGAAGCAAACCGCGGACAGAGGAGGCCAGTGCTGGAGGTAAAGTATATTAGTTTATCGTGCCCCGCCCTGAGACAAATCGATTGCTCGAAACCTGAGCTCTTGAAACCATAAACTTGGAATGATGCGATGAACCAAGGGTACCTATTCGGAGCGAGCAGTAAGTACTCTTGATGGACGTGATGTGTGCCGGCAGAAGAAGTTCTCCTTTAACCTTCAAGCTTTGTAACACGAATGCTTCGTCATGTCATTGTCTCAACGGTTTCCTCCAGAATGTCTTCGGCACGACCTAGAATGCCTAGTATGTATCTTGCTTCAGGATCCATATGTACCACCTAGAGTACCTACTGACATGCTCGATCTCCAATTCTTAGAAAAAGCAAAGCTCAAATCCGGGGATAAACATTTCCAAAGCTCCCATATACTACTACGCCACTACCTCTACGGAACCTTCCGAGTGCCGTAAGCGATAAACGTGCTAGCCAGGGTCTCAAAACGGATAGAGCCGCACACTAATCTGTAATCGCTTGAAAGAGGAGAATCCTTCTGTGTGGACCCTGTTTAGATTTAGGCAGATTTATCATTCCCAGGAGCTGAGGGAAATCGAAGGTACTCTAGCCTCTAGCTCTGAGGGTTCCGTTTAATTTTGCACACTCCAGATTTTATTCTGCTATGGAGTGTGCTATCTCCCTTCAGTAGCCCAAACGCCAGACTCCCGGGAGATTCACAGAACGAAAAAAAAAGAAGAAAAACTGCACATCATGCCACTTCTTACTTAGATCAATCAATTTGCGGCTTCTCGGTAAGGCACAAGCGAGAACAATATGGACAAAAGGAAACAAACACATTGATACACGGATGGTATGTGCGAGAGGGATGGGTTACTCTATCCTAGGTACCGATGGTCGGGTTAACCTAGAAACCGGACCGACACGTGGCTGGGCCCGATATCGGCCTAATCTATTCAGTATCCTTCCAAGCTGTTACGTCGAAACCAAACCAAGCCGAAATCAGTCAAAACTTCATGACACCACCATTTCTCTTCTACCAGGCTGACTACCAGGTACTTACATGTAGGCATATATGTAAAGTACCATATAAGAGCCGCGCTGTTCTGCCCACTAACGCAAACATAAGACCATAATCTTCTCCGGCTGGGAAGCAGACTCAAGTGGTCGCCGAGCTGCCAGAAATAATACAGATATCTGAGATTGGCAGGTTCGTACCCTTTGATTTTTTCGTTTACTCATACCTAAGCAGATTAAAGAAGTAATCTATAGTATTAAATTTAACAGTCACCCTATTGTACTATAGTATAGTATAGGGGTTACGCGTATCAGGGAAATATTAATGACCCCCGATCGTTTATCTAGATCTCTAGCTCCATCGATTGCAGGTTCTTCACTGACTCAAGTTGTTTAAACCGAACAGGTGAGGCTAAGCTTGTGTGGAAAAGATATATCTATCCAAAGGGGTATCGAATATAGATAGGATACGGGTAAGAGATATCTCGATACATGCATCAGATGAATTGGGGTGAAGACAGGCATTTATGCGCTTGAGCTAGTTAGCGGTTCCAGAATAGAGAGCCTCGGGATTGTCGGAAAGCTTCTTGCTGTTTATCAATACAGTAGCTTATCATTTCTCTTATCAATAGTTAGCTCTCATGCCTATCATGTGTATTAATTCTTCCCCTCTTCTCCAGACCCTCGAAGACGAGTGATTTTCTATGACTGTTTGCTGTCTTTTTGGATCGGGAGACCAAACAATACGACTCATACTAACCCTTTAATTACATGTACATGTGCCCGAGAATATTGCTTAATTCCTGACCCTAGCAAGGCTCATTCTCATTTATCCCACTCTAAGTACGTCCCGAGCCGCGTTAGTGAAAGGTTCAGCTCATACTCGATATACAAACTTACAACTTATATGATGTTTCAAAAGCCAACTAAGATGTGAGGAGAGTTAATCATCTTGCATGGTTATTCAGCTTTCTCATGAGTTCACTTACCTGGCGCATACGTACGTACAAGAAAATCCCACTCTCAATCTCACCGTCATGATAGCAGAAGCGTTACTTATTTAAGACATCTATGAAGAACCGTTAATTCTGCCGTAACCAGCTACCTCACCGTATACATCAACCTACATTCTACACTAGCTACTACCTCGGATTGGAGGACTCGTAAAGAGGGATTGAGGGGGAAGGCTCCACGATCATGTCCGTGACAGTCCGTCAGCAGCACAGAATTCGACTTAGATAGTTTCCACTGATTCCGAATAGATATATATTGAATTCAGCCTGTGAATCAAAAGAAGCTTTGAATTCCTCTAGCTCCCTTCGGTGCTTACGGCGCATACCAGGTACCCGCGCCCGAGAGCGGTAAGTCCGACGGGAGCACCCATTGGCTAGGACCAGCCTACGGTGTGACCGACCCCAAGTACCGCCAATGGCCCAAACCTGCTTTCGCTATTCTCTCTTCACTTTCCGATATTAGTCCCCAAATGGTCCCCTCTGATTGATAATTCCGGTACTCCCCAGTTCCGTACGTCGTTGTGGCTTCGTTTACAATCCCCCCAATTCGTTTCTAGATCTCCCGTTGCGGTACATGCGATATGCATGCAGGTACTGCTTCATATATTAATAGCCACGGAATGGAGCGAGGGGTGTGTGGTATGTGCTCCCCCTTGATACGCATATTTAGTTGATCCGGCGGAGTCTGTCTTTAATTAGGAGCCTCAAAGACGACTGGTTGCACCGGTTTGTAATCCAATCATGCCATATTGATGATGCTGGCTTGTCCTTGTCGGTTGTCTTTGTTGCAGGGACGGGGGTGGTGGGTATCAGTTCCCGATCTCCATGCATTGAGACTATTAATTTCTGGGAGACATACCGCGTCCTATTTTTCTTGACGGTTTCGTAGGATAGAACGACTTCTTGCCAACTAATTCTTCGATCTTTCATAGGTCACGAATAGAATCTTGGACAGTCTATTGAACGGCCTCCGCAGCTAGAGACTTAGAACATACCAATTCCACTCAGAGGAGCGAATCATAACAATCTTATTTCTGTATCCCACCCTCAAGGTTGCAATCGTAATATTATCGAGGCTCGGGTTTACACCGAGCCACGGTTAATAAGTGCCGATATCGATGACCCGAAGCATAGATTCGATTCTTCACATCGAGTAATATATAGTGAAGGCCTAAGAGAGAGACTAATATGTGGATTCAACACCAGAGCACTCTTCTCCCCCAGGGTTATCACTTATTAATGGATTAATCAATCATTAAATCATCCCCAGAGCTACCTAATCTTGGTATCGAGTGATTATATATGACGTAAATAATTTTGTGTAGCTATCTTCATCAGTCATCACTCGACTCCACTCGATCCCCACAACTAACCACCACCACTATGATACAGATTAGCTGTCAGATGAATATAATACTGTTTTTAGTTTACAGTGCCGGAATGATTGATTCATTAAGTACATTAGCATGGGCGACCTACACCGGCAGAGCCCAGTGCACCCTCAACATAGAACGGAAAAAAAATTAGTTGTACAATACGATAGAGATAGATAAAGTAGATATAACCCAGATGGTCTCGTGAATACAACACCGTATCCATCCAAGCAAGGGACCAACCACCCAAAACCCACCACCCAAATAGGCAACATTCCGGAAATAGTGCAACCCCACCAACCCAATATTCAACCACCGCATGCAGCCGATACCGTTCGTTATATAAGATTCTGCTATTACAGCTGATCCTCGCCCCAACGGGTTCAAGAAAGTCACAAGTCAAAACCAAATCTCAGCCACCACGGTGCAAAAATGCATATTTTCCTCAAGCTTCTCGCTCTGTCATTTCTCGCATTAATGTGCCTTGGCTCTCCAATTGCTCAAGGAGCTCCATCCCTGACTGCCGATGCCACTGCTACTCCAGATATCACTCCTACCCCAGCTATCACTCCTACGCCAGCTGTCACTCCTACTCCAGCTAGTACTCCTACTCCAGATACCACTACTACGCCTATCACTACGCCTACTACCACCACGACTACTAGTGAAACAAGCACGCCGACGGCTTCAGCCACACCAACCCCAAGGTGTGGTATGAGCATTGCATACCTCCTCTGCGTGCAAGCTTGTGTTCTTACTAATAAACCGGACTGTCAAAACACTTGTTGTAAGCTCATTCTTAATATATTCCAAATTGGACCTTGACACGTGTGAGCTAATAAGCTGTGAATAGCCAAGTCTTCCTGCTCGGGACTGTTGGGTGATGGGAATTAATCTACACCTGCCAAGCGAAGTCAATAGTTTTAATAGCAGCACAATATACATGTATCTCTCTCATGGACCAAAGGGTTCCGTTATGCATTGCGACTGCTTGTTTTTTTTACTATCGATAGTGATGTACAAATACCCCACCAACCACTATTCCCCTCCAATTTCATCGCCAAGATATCCTTAAGAACACTTGCATCGCATGTCACTTAACTTAGAGGGGATATTAGGCGAGTTGGTTGTACAATATAAAGAGGGTGAACTAGTACTATCAACCTCTTCCGGAAGTCTTGACAGGCTTAAGGAACGAAAACTCGCTATTCTTAGTATTCTACAAGCCTATTGAGTTAATGTTAGTATACTTTTGACCGAACAGTACCCAGGGGTGCCGGAAAGTGACGCAACGTTTGACTTAGCAACACGGAAAGGCACTCAGAATTTCAATTTTTAACACAACACAATGCTTGAACAGGATGGATATTTTAGCCATACCCATGATACATGAGTTTCTAGAATAGAATCTGCATTTTTTCAAGTCATTGATTTGGGGTTTTTAGCCTGCAAAAGGAAAACTTGTGATAAGAGACAGTAATAAAAGGAGAAGCAATAGCTATTCATATTACCTCTTACCATAACTGCAATCTCCAGCTTCTAAAGTACCATAGATTCACTCCACATTCTGTTAGCTAGTTTGGTTGTTGATGAATATGGACTATTTGATCGTTGCATCACTTTCCGGCACCCCCGGGTACAGAAATGTGCTTCATTTCGCTGTGAAAGACGGATCTACCGGGTGATATACCATGATCCAAGCGGAGAAACTAACAATCGTGGGCGGAGGTACAGCGAGTATAGCGAGTATCCGTCTAAGGAGCGCAACCATCACCAAAAATGTAGCTCTCACTCTCTGTGAGATCACTTACTCATGTTCTAAATGGCAGGTCTACAAGGATCAAAACCTCGGTATTCGAACTTACCACGTATTCCTATATATAAATTGAAAGTATCACTCGGCGACTCGAACTACATAAGCACCCATGATCATAAGAACTGAAATTCGGATGATATATACCTAGCTAAAATAATATTCGCTTTCAAACGAAAAAAGGAATAATAAAAAAAGGGAATAAGAAAGATTGAAAAACAATCGCTATCCCGCCCCATAAAGATCCCAATCCATTACAATATAATATGTAAATAAATCAAAACCCCAGATCCGCAATGCAATGCGTCGTATAACCACCTGACTACATATCCAAAAGAAATCAAAGCAACCAACCAACCAACTTAATGATATTTATATGATACATCGTGTTCATTCCAGATTGAGGAAAGAAAAGAAAAGAATCGCTCGAATAAAAAGCCTTCCAAATATTCAAAAAAAAAAAAAAAAAAAAAAAAAAAAACGGTTTATAACAACTCCCCAAGATTACATGGGGGCTGAAGCAGCATGCATTATCCGCGGCATTGACTCTGTCGTTCTTCCCCGTGTTGTTTTCCCGTGGCTGATTTCTTTCAAATTTTCTCTCTCTCGCCCATTTCCCCCAGCTGCACTATTCATAACCTCTTCCTGAAGTTGTCGTTTCAGTACTGATATGTTGATTCCATGCATACTGTTCTCGTCCGAGGCATACATGGAGTCGAACGGATCCTCCACTGGTCTTCCGTGGCGGTCAGATGCTTTCGGCGTGCTATTCACCGACACAACAGTCGATAGCGACGGCGGCTCCACGACCACCCTCTTGATATCCGGGTTCGGCACAATTCCCTTCTCCGTCACCGCCATTGATCCCGGTCCTGAGGGTGCATTGCTGTCCATCCCAGTAGCATGCGCAATCGCCGCCATCGTAAATGGCGATTTCTTAGAACCCGTGAGTGAAAGGTCACCACTACCAGCAAACGGCGCCGATGACGGCGCACTGATCGGGTAACTGTTACTGCGCAATGCATGCTTTCCAGGGCACCATTTCAGCAGCATTTTCTCAAGTGTTGTACATTTCACAGGCTTGGCGAGATAGTCATCCATTCCAGCATCTCTACATTTTTCACGGTCACCTCTAATTGCAGAGGCTGTCATGGCGACTATTGGGACTCCCGACAACCATTCCGAGGAGGGACTAGGTCCGTCCGGTAGTTTCGGTGCTGGTTTGGGGTTTCGTGGGTTTCTCCAAAGCGAGATTTCTTTATTACCTTCGGTTGGATACTCGTATAGTTTTCCGGAACGGATTATGCGGGTGGCACTGTATCCATCGAGTTCAGGCATCTGAACATCCATAAGAATGATATCTGGCCGTTGTGGACGTGTTGTTGTCGAAGATGATGAAGAAGAAGCATCGCTATTCAACGGTGATCCGGGCTCTGTGGAGCTTGGTGGTACAGCCTCCTTGAGGAACTCAAGGGCCTCTAGTCCATTACTTACAGCCGAGACAGAGAAATTAAGCTTCTTGATCAGCCTTATCGCAATTTGTTGGTTGATATCATCTAAATTGGGTCATCAGTAAAACCATTCTTCCTTGACTCTGGACATCAGAACATACTATCTTCGACGACCAACACATGGGTTCTCTTCCTCTCCTCCATGTTTCTTTCAATCTCTGCTGCCGTCGCTAGCCCTGGCGTAATTCTCTTCAACAAATTGGTTGAATGGCTTGAAGATCTTGTCCTTTTTAAAGCAATATCTATAGGAGACTCGGGCGGTGTTGAAATACCGCAATCTGATGATCGACAAGACACAGACACGTCCGATTGCAACCTGTCTGGAAGACTACTAATATCTGCGGGTTGCAAGCACCCATTTTGGTACTGTGGACGATGGAATGGTATCGTGAAGTATGCAGTTGTACCAGCGCCAAGGCTAGAGGAAAGGCCAATAGTACCACCCATAAGATCAACAAGCTAGATTCCAGTGTCGGTGCTTAGCGCTACTCTATTTCCAATGTGATTCAAAGGGGGAACAAACATTTTTACTGATGGTTAAGCCTAACCCTGTTCCGCCAAATCTCCTCGCCGTCGACGAATCTGCTTGAGTAAATGGCTGGAATAGCTTTTGTTGTACATCGTCATCAATCCCGATACCAGAGTCCTTGACTTCAAATCGTACAACAATGGATTCATCATCCTCCTTCACGACTTCAACATACAACTTAATGAACCCCTCGTGGGTGAACTTTATACTGTTTGTTAGCAAGTTGGTCAATATCTGCCTAATCCTTCCCGGGTCCCCGATAACTGTCATATTCTCCCCAGCCTCACCCCAATCAGCATCGCATTCAAAAGCTAGTTTTCGTCTCTCAACATCAAAGCTCAACATCTTAGTCACATCCTGGACCACGAGTGGTAAGCTGAACTGAACTTCTTCGATGTCGAGTCGTCCAGACTCGACTTTGGATATGTCAAGAATGTCGTTGATGACGGTCAACAGCGCATTGGCTGACCGTTGGATGTTCTCCGCAAATTCGCGTTGCTCCGTATCCAGGTTTGTATCCAGAATGATTTCTGCCATCCCGACAACACCAGCAATTGGCCTACATCACACTATCTAAGCGTCATCATCACACGTTTCAGGAAAGGAAAGACCAACGTCCTGATTTCATGCGACATAGATGCAAGAAACTCGCTCTTGAGCTTACTCGCCTCCTTTGCGGCGCTCTCGGCTGCAGCTAACACTCGATTTTCTCGCTCCCTTGCTTCCAGCTCCGCGCTCGCATTATGCACCTCCGTGGTATCTAGAGATACCCCAATGATACCTGCTACGTAATTCTTGTCATATTGTCCGGCGCTACCCTTCTTGCCTAGTATGGGCACATACTTTGTTCTGAACCACCGTCCGTCGTTCAGTTCGGTCTCTGAATATAGCAAGTTATCTTTGCCGTTGAGGATGCTCTCGATAGGGTGCAGGAATTCCGGGCAATCCTGGAACAACTCATAGATATCCACACCAATGTAAGATTCTGCAGTGTTGTGAAGATCCCAGATTATTGACCCTTCGAGCAACGTGATGTGGTTGCTACAGTCAATTGCCCATAATGTTATCTGAGAATGTTGGAGAACTTCTTGTAGCTGCTTGCGAGTACGGCGAGCCTCGGATCGCGCTTCGACAAGGTCGTGAATATCCGTACAGGTTCCATACCATTTAATTATTTCACCTGTACGGGGGTCTCGAAGTGGCAGTGCTCGGCCGAGCATCCATCGCCACACTCCGTCGTGACGTCGACAGCGGTATTCTACGGTGTAATCTTGCCCTGTTTCCAGGCAGCGCATCCACTCCTTGATCACTAACGGCATGTCTTCCTGTCGGGAGAAAAAACAATCTGGTTAATAACTCTGAATGCATGTCAAACCAACAACGATAAGGAATAGAGAAAGCAATCGGATAAGAAGGCACTGTCAGGGGTTATTACGGGATGAAAGGGTGCTTTCCAGCCCTTGACAAGTGAAAGAGTCAGCCCACTATTATTCAATGGAAGAGGTGGCAGCCAGACCGTTACCATTCCTAGAGACTCCTCCTTTGTAAGACCGGTAAAATCATACCATCTTTTTGAGTAGTAGTCGTGATATCCATCCGGTCTGGTGGTCCATATCTGTAATGCAGTAGCCCACACGATCAATTATTACCCGTCAGACTTATATCGTGGAGATTGAATGTGAAAACGGAAACCTACCAACTGGGGCATGCAATCACACATGGTCATGAATCGCAGCTCATTCGTTTCTTCCTGCACCACTAACTTCTCCTGGTATTCTGTAACGTCTCTCAGCCAGGTTAAACCACCAAGAAATTCCCCGGTGTCGTTATCATAGATTCCGTCGCCATGGGCGTCAAAGACCATTTTTTTACCCTCTCTTGAGTACATGCCAAACCTTCCAGGGCTAATGGCTTTCTTTGTTTTGACTAGCTTGATTAATGGGTGTTCATCCACTTCCAGTTCACGCTCAAAATCCTCAGAGTATAGCCTGTACCATCTCGTGAGCTCATCGCGATGAAAGGTATACGTATTTCTTTCGGAAAGTGAGATCTCTTGGGCTGCACGGTTTGTAAAACCCATTGAGCCATCATGCCACATTCCGAATACAGGAATCTCCATTGCATCAAGGACTGCGTCCTTCATTCGCATCATTCTATCGAGGACTGAAGGGGATGTCGATATGTCTGAAGACGCTGGGGCACCCATTGGTAATAAAGCAGACCCAAGTCTGGCTGGCTCTGGGTCAACGCACGGCGCACTTACTTTTGGGAAAAAAGACCCATCTACAGCAGTTGGCGATAGTGGTGAAGCCATGGATGTGAATGTAAGTGTGAAGTATCTCTCAGAATCAAGAACCCAGATAGAGACGATCATCTTTGCTTGTATTTGGATGGGGCGTGGGTGATTATCACTTTCTTTGTGTCCATGATTGCTCAAAGATACATCCAAAGCCACATCCCGAACTGGATGTCCTCGCAAAAGTGGTGGCGCATCCGAGGCAGGCGAGGTAGCTCCCGCCCTACTTATTAGGGAATTGGCGTTCGCAAAGCCGTCCTCATCCCCAGTCATGTCCTTTGCCAAAGCTTCAAGAAACAGCTCCCAGCTAACCCATAATGGACTGTCACGTTGCAGAATATTGACTCCAAGTTCAGACAAATCTTTGCCTTGTAACAGCTCTGTAATAGATGGGCTCGACGGTTCTTTAACGGCTGCCCCTGCTAGCCGATTAACATTCTGGTTCGGTGGCTCCATGCCCAGCAGCCTCCCCATAGCTTCATTTGCCAAGACCACCGTTTTATTGCGCCCGAGTACCAACAACGGAGTAGGCAGGAATTGGAGTGCCGTGAACGCCAACGAAGCGCCAGATGTCGGTGGAGGTATATCTGGTGGCGGATTACTTGTGGGATGCGTCCTCACTGTTGGTATTTCTCTATTAGAGGAATGACGGTAGGGAAACGCAGGAAGGGGGATGGATTCTCGAGTTCCACGATGAGAAATGTCAGACTCGTTGTCTCCGAACGCACCGCTGGCAGATACGCTCTTTGCAGAACCATCGTTAGAATTCTTGGGGGCCAGTGAAGATGCTGCCCCTGCCGCCGCCGTCGTCGTTGCCACTGCCGCCTTCTCGTGTGTTTTTTTAAGCCGATTATCAGAAAGCCGGACCATCTTGACCTCCCCAGAATGCCTCCGTATCTCCCTCCCTCTCGATATTCCTTTCGCGTGAATTCAACCACCGATGGTGGTGGAAACCAACGCAGATGTGACCGATATTCTGTTTAGAATGTGGAAATGTAGTGTGTAAAGTAAAGGTTGCTAGCAGGTCATGTAAGGATGGGAAATTTGGTTAATTATTCTAAACTACTAGTCGTCCCTTCAAGATTGTGCCGTTTGGCAGCAGGACACCAGCGGCTTGAATGAACCTGTTTTTCCCTTTTCCTTTTTGAGTGCCGTGAGATGTGGGGACTGCCCTTGTCGACTTGTCGATGCTGCGAGTTACATAAGATGTCGATCCTCGCTTCTCCAGGATATGCTCGATGATGATCTGCGCGGCCGTTTGAATGGATGTTGAGGGGGGCAACCTTGGAAGGGTCCGGGACTTTTTCCTTCACTTTTTCACACTGATGGGGAATCGAATCTCTGAATTCTGCAGCTGGGGAAGGGGACCAGATCAAGAAGAACTCGTAGGCCAGCTCCTTCTCTTCCCAAGCACGTGGCAACTCAGTGCTTTCACTCTTGATCACTCACCCTTTTGATCGGATGGACAGTGTGCAGGGAATACCACAAAAACGGATAAAACGGGCTGCCTATGTAGAGGAGACTCAGATCAGGTCGAGGGGCGCTGGCCTAGGTAACTGCCTAGCTAGCTGGGGGAGACTGGGAGACTCCTGTAAGATTGACAACTCACTGGTTACTAGCAAGACAACGGTCGACGATTTGGAAAAAGCAGGTACTTGCCCACCATTCATTCACCTCTTTGAAGCCGTGGCCGAGTGTCCGTGAAACAATTCAAGCTGCCACTGCTGTCGCTGAAGCTCTTTTGTACGCCCTGGTACTGTGCTCATACGAAGGGTAACTGTGCGACTGGTGGGGGAGCAAACGACTGAATTCAGTGGATGGTGTAGTACGCTCGCTTCCTAAACCCCCTCACCACCACCGCAACCACAACCCTCCTGCGGCTCGCCTCCCCGCGCCGAATCCGCGGACTGCAGCTTGAAGTCTCGACCCATCACCCACGGCACCGGGCCACACAAGTGTTCGCCGCAGTCTTGGCACCCCGCTCACCCATCTAATCTAAGCCTAAATTAAGTACCGGGAGAGCGAAGACCCTTTTCCTGCAGTAAAATGTGATCCTCCTACCAACTATTCAGGGCCCTGGATTTTCAAAACATTTACTCCTAACGCACTGGTACGATTCTCTCATGATCGTCATAGGCAGATAGACCTACGAGAACTTGCGGGCCTGCAGCTTTCCCATGCTGAGGCAACATCGCAAAGTCCCATGATCAGGATCCTGCAAAGGTCTTTCTTTTATCCCTCGCTTTTCTTTTTTCCCTTTTCTCCTAGATTTGAAAGCGAACCAGAGAGCTTCGTGTAACCATTGATGGGGGGGTGGCAAAAGCCAGGGTCAGTTCTTGGGAACCCGATAGACAAGAATCCACAATGTATGAGTAGGTACAGCGATAGGAATGATATATGGAAAGAACAGTTATATGGTGCACAGATATAGATCATTCCGGTCGCTGTACATGTATGGTACCGGTTGCTTTGGGCCGCAATATCTATCGATTTCCATGGAGTGTTTTGGGGTGTCTGAATCGAACAAGTATTATTGATTTTGCATGTTAAAGCAGGTAAAGTAGACTACATGTACGTATGAGGTACTTAGGCACATGTAGAGTAGGCATCAGGAACCCGTACATTCTATGCAGGTTATGAATTAATCCTGGCATGCTAGGATAAGGTATGGAACGGACAATAACCTGAAAACATCATTTGTCGCCAAAGGTAGAATATTGTTTCGTTTAAAGTAGAACGCCTGCTAGAACGGAAACAGCAATTTCGGCTGGCTATTGCAAGTTAAAGGTACATACATGTACTCTACATGTAGGTGGGTACATCTATTATGCAGGGTACCCAGTCTCCCTATGCGGGGAAGGGGATGCAAAAAGTCGACTGGCCACGGTGCTAGGGAAGAATAGGTATTGTTTTGCTTTGAACGCTTTGGACGCTCAGCCAGTCAGTGCCTTGGACGTTCAAAATCACCCCGTGCGACTTTTAAGACTCGATACTCCCCTGATCTGGTGATTTGTCCTGGACCACATTTCCATAGATATAGATCATGTGATTCACACACAAAAGGAACCAAGCATCAGTTTCCAGGTCCTCACATGTCTGCCACGTAACATTAGATGCGCAGCGTACTCTTCTTCTTTCTTCAGTAAATAATGGTGGCTGCGCGTATAAAAAGAGCCGCATGATATTTAGCGCGATAATGACGTCATACCATGTGAGGTAGCCTCCCACTCCAGCCGCGATAAGGTTTCGGGAATCGGAAAATTTCCCTTTCCGCCTACATAGAGGGGAAAGCTTATTTTTAATGCAACCAACTCGTCATTTCCTAAGGAAAGCACCTTCTCCTCACCATCGTCATTATCTCCGCAGGGTACCGGGTCTCCACAGCTCTCCCCGCCGTCACCGACCCCCATAATGGACGCCGAGTTCCTGCTCTTTGTCTTTGTCGTCGTCATCTTTCCGGATAGAAAAGGCAGACTGCAGACTAGTCAGAAATCCAAACATGCCAAGTTGTGATGAATGGAGCCGCATTCAGCCCTAAACCGTGTATCTGGCTGGATTTTCAATGATGATCTGATTTCCCCTCTTCTGCTGAAAGTCCACCTGAAAGGAAAGTCTTGAAACATTCGATTCAAGTGGTTTACGGCAACTGCATTCAGTACCAACTATTGAGGAGTAATGAATCTTGGACTGGTCCCTCGCTTCCTTCAACTTATCAGAGCTTTGATATCCATTTGCTCACAACTAAATATAGTCACTCGATGCTCCTTCATCCTTTCATCTATAAAGAGACCATTGGGGTTAAAACTGGGATTTGGCAAGCCATTGGTGATGGACCAGATGATGGTCTATTGCTTGGTATGAGAGAACAGCAGATCCCAACAACTCGTTATTGAAATATAGCCAATAATCGTGTGTGAAGCCGTTCTTTGACTCAGTCTGTTATCGATGAATCTTTCTGAATTCATTTTCTTCACGTTCACAAAAAATCACTCGTCTGCATCTCTTTCTAATTTCTCGGTGTAAATACTTGATCGATCGACGACAGGACTATCGAGAGAACCCTGGGTCAATCGTTTATGACAGGGTGGCTTCTACATCAAAATAGAACGATGGTTGGCAGTACAGTAAAGTTTAAGATACGCATGCTAGGAATTCCATCTCTCGAATGTCGATGAGCACTAGCCTCTAACACCTCCTGGTGGCACTTACGCCAGCTGAGATTTGCAACCTGTCAATTTACGTTTATGCATCTGATAGTCGCATCAGAAGAAGGCTTCATTCATCGGTCTTTTCTCCGGACCCATCCGGACTTCACGCACGACTCCAGGCCTCACTTGTAGGCTGAACCATTCTTCTACCCGCCGAAGCGCTGTATGAGCTTTTTTTTTTAGAAGGAAGTTCGCATATCAAACTGTCTCAAGATACGACTTTGGCACCAGGGCTTTCCTGACCGCAGCTTACTCTGGGCGGCATGGCATGCCCGCATTATCTCTAATTCTACAATCCAATTACATTGACAGCTATAGTATCATTGCGCCTGCAATATTAATATGCACGACGTGTCTTCTGTCTAAAGTACCGAAGCACACCTATCCAAGCCTTCCTTCACTCCAGGTATCGAGTAAAGATCTCCCTCCCAGGATTATGCCTGCACACTGCTCTTGGCTGCCCTACTATTGCTTGGACCTGTATCCATCGAGTGCCCAATCTCGTATGTGTCCCCCCGCTTTGGGGACGCAAGTCATCAGCCCGGGTTCCAACAGGCTCTTCCATTTTCAGGCTGGTACATGTTCACTATCCAACCGGTTCATCGTGAGATTTTGACCCGGAAATCACCGAACCGCTCAGGCACAGACTTGGATATGAGGAGTTGAAAGTTGAAGAAACCCCACCTCTGCTGCACTAAGGCGGATGGATCTACGGTTCCACTCTACCAACTTGCTAAGTATCAAGGCATCTTCATAGGGTAGGCCTTATGTAGATGCAATTCATATTTCAAGTTCGGTTAGCATACGAGAATCTCTAATTTTTGCGTTCGACGGCGGCTTTTCGGGGCCCGACAAAGATGGCCTTAAGTTGTCTACTTGGAGTTGAAGCGTCGGTATACACATATATATGCCCGCAAGATACATGTGAGTGACCCATAGTCAACTTGCTCTGTTTTGTATCTACTCGTATTATATCTTCATTCATATATCCTCACCGTGAATATCTCAACATTGAATCCGCACATCGAAATACCGGTACTGCGAATTCACACTGCCGACACATCGCCCGCACTGCAGATCCCTCACCTCTTCAGGACTTCCTTGATCCCGCTAAATAACTACCGCAAGATTTGGAGCGTAAAGCCCGGGTGTTAGAAAGATCCTGGTATATAAATGGTACCAATTTTTGCTCGAACTGTGGCGAATCCTTCAGTTTTTGGTGAGAGAAACTTACCAGGATCTTATTTAACACCCGGGTGCAACACTCCAACTTTTGCGGTAGGTCATTATTATCTAATCTAATCAAGCAGGGTCCAATTACACCCTGGAAATATCTCACGTAATATTATCATGACGTCTTTCATGCTGCCACAAAGTCTTGGTTCAGTTTTTTTCTCTCGGGGAGTTTCTTTTTCTTCGTTTGGGGAGTGGGCCCGGGAAAGGCGAGGTCGGAGTTCGCTAGTGGTTGTCGAATGTGCGCTAGGGATAGCGTTCCAGCGGCCCGACGTTGATCCGGTAGTTTAAACGGCATCTCTTGGTGGCTTGGTGCGGGCCTTCGAATTCTGGCACTAATAATTTCTGCTTTTCCGGTGCTAGGGGCAGCTCGGAGTTTGCTGCTGCCGGGGCTAATATCGGTGATCGATAAACCGGTGGCGTAGGGAGAGAGGAACGGCCAGACGCTGTCGAAGTTGTCGATAAACCGTAGTGTGTCCCTCGAATTTTCCTAAGCTTCTAGCACCTTATGTAAACTACCTATATTTGAGTTTAGGTGGGTTTGTGACTTGAGTTTACTAAGGATGGGTAAATCCGAGTGATGCTTGATGATCAACCCATTCGCCAAACCTTAAGCCCCAGAAGAAAAACTTATTCGAAACAAATTGAAGCAGTATGATAAGCGGATTGGGCTTATAAGCTTATCGGGTGGTCGCTGCCAGTGATTGATGATTGCTGAAGTCCTGTAAAGTCTTTTGGCTATGTAGAAGCCCAAGCTTACTTATACTACATGAGGACATACATGCGTTGAGGATACATACATGTACCTCTAATAATATTACTACTTCTTGGTTCTGAACAATTTAGGCCTAGGAGAAAGGATGCTGCATTAATTCATATTGTCAAATCCAACATAATACTAAAAGATTCAACCAGGCCCGCGTTACTTTCCAAATCATGTAATAGCACGCATATTTGAAGCAGTTACTGAGTTGGCCTCGCAACACGCACAGCATCGTTGACTTATTTTTAACACTTAACTATCGCGTTGTACCGGAATACTGGGTTAACGTATCCAATGGGGATGTCGGATATTACCAAGAAGTCGGATGTCTCAGGTTACGCCCAATTGTCTCACTCGGCCAGCCCTGTTGGTTACTACTCCTCCTCAAAACTGTCCATATACTGAGGTGAGAAGTTAAATTGATATCTCTAAAGAATAATGATTATTTATTAATTAATATATAGGTTTTTCATAAGCCAAAATCTGCGACCCTGCGACCTTGACCCCACGACCTCTCGACCCCGCGACCTCTCGACCTCTCGACCCCGCGACCTCTCAACCTCTCGACCTCTCGACCTCTCGACCTCTCGACCCCGCTACCTCTCGACCCCGCTACCTCTCGACCCCGCGACATTTCGACCCCGCGACATATGACCTTGCGACCTTGCGACCTTGCGACCTGTAGTGGTTATCAGTGGCTATTATTTGAAGAGTTGTTGCAGCTTAGGGGAGCTTACCATGATAAGCTCAGGTATGGTGGGGAATGAACTTGACTTTCCTTTTTCTTTGGCTGACCCGCACCACAGGAGATTGAGGAGAGTTAGGAATGGACCCGGAGTTACTGATGATATTTGGTTGGGGGATTGATTTGCGGGTGCGTGCTGGTAGGTGTTCTGTCTTTTCTTTCTTCAACTTGAAGGTACGGGCTAGAGCTTTCCTTTCTAATTCCTCTTTCAACCTGATGATGTCCGCTCCAGTAATTACTTGTGCTTTAGATAATACACGCCTATCAGATTTGACTGCTCTCTTCCCCTCATATTTTATCCGCATTTCTCTCAATTGAAGTTTTGCAATCTCTGCTTCACTAAGTGATGCTTCAGCAAGGTGAGCGAGCCTGAGAATAACAGCTTTGTACTCCTCTGAATCCTGAAAGTCAATTCCCAATGCGAATTGTGTTTGATGGCGCAAATCTCGGCGGTTTCTCGGCGTCTGAAAATGTTTGTTAAGCAGAATCTTAGGTCCGTTAGGAGTGCTAGGAGTTAGGTTGAGCGGTTTTAGTTTGTTAAGAACTTTGTCTGGGTTCAGCGGATGAATTCCAGTGGCACGGAATGCGGATTGAATTGTCTGCTTTGTGTAAGCCTTTTGACGGGCTTCTGTGAATAGGGACCAAAATGTTCCTATCTCTATTGATTAGCTATCAGGGAAATAAAACAAGACTTTCAAGTTAATAGTTCTACCTTTACTAATTCCCGTTCGGGTTTCTCTCAAGTGGTTGTCTGCGGCCTTCCCGTAATAGTGCTGAAGTGGTCCAAACAGACCGACATCAAGTGGTTGAAGAAGGTGCGTTGAGTGGGGAGGTAAACAAATAAGATATATGTTCCTAGATAGTGCATATGAACAGAATTCATATGTGAGATGACTGCCGTGACCATCCATTACAAGGAGGCGGGGGCGGCCTTGATTGAGTTTGGCGGTATGGACATCAAAATGTTCTTTGAGCCATCGTAACCCCATCTTATCATCCGTCCAGCCATTGTCGCTATAGGCAAAAACAACGTCAGGGTCATCAGTATTTTGGTGCCAACCCATATAGTGGCCTTTCCCTTTATAGATAATCCACGATGGAATTGTCAAACCACCTGAGGAAGCCGCCTCGACAACAGTTATTAGTTCTCGTGAACCGTCTTGTGCCACATTAGGATTTCTCCTCCCCTTTCTGCATATAACCTTTGCCTTTGATGAATAACCTAATATAAAACCCTTCTCGTCAAAATTCCAGATATCATCGTTAGGTCGAAGTCCTTTAGAAATAAGTTTGCGTAATAGGCGGGTGAGCTTATTGAAATAATCGCGGAGGGTGATAGGATTGCTCGCATGCTGTCGTTGACGGTCTATTTGTGTACTAAATTTGGATGCCAATGACGGGTTGCGGTCGAGAAATCTTGATATCCAGTTACGGCCAATGTACGCTGACTCGGAGTCCACCTCTAAGCCATTCTCTTCGGCAATATTTTGGGCCATTGCTGTTGCCATCCCTCTCAATAAATCTATTCTTGGTGGGAACCCTGCATCGTCCATATCTTCGCACCATCGCTTAAGAGTTTTCTCCACGGTTGGGGGTAGCTTTTGTTGACTTTGATGCGCCTCATGACGGTTTTTGCGTCCATTATGTCTATCGTTTAGTGTAGAGGTAGGAATGCCGAACTCTAGAGATAGAACTGTCCAGGGAGTGTTGAATTCGGCCCTTTTTGCTAGTGCACGGCGTATTCTGTCCTCCCTTTCAGCCTGGCTCAATTCACTCCGTTGTTTCACTTTACCCATACTGTAGCTGGCGTGGTTGACTTTTACTCACGGCCTCGTGAACCATTGGTTTTGAGGATCCTAACCCGATTAGTCATCCGACATCCTACTGATGTCCGACTTCCCGGTTGGATACGTTAAGTGTAGTCTTAAAGAAACACCATCATATATATACCAAAAGTATCGTTAGGCGCACACCCTATAGCAATAACACATATGATTGAAATATTTCGTTAGTACGTGTATATTACATGCGTCCGATGATGTATCCAGAAAATATGGATGCTTACATGTGGTCATGCCGAAATATTGATGTTGTGGATTAAGGTTTCAATTAGCACGGTAAGAAAAGCAGATTCATTTACAATTAGAGTTCTAAATACGACAAAGAAGAAACAGTATGCGCGGTGTCAGATTTCACTTTCGATCATTGACAACACCTTTGACTAGCATTAGCCGGGGTAATATGTCTTGGGATGAAGCTTAGTTCTGTACCTCGACCAGTGAGGAACGCGATATTCGGATACTGACAGGCTGCACAACACCAAATGCATAAGCGCCTCATGTGAGAGGCATCTAAACTATGTACTCGTAGTTTTTTGACGTTTCCGGACGCGACCACTATTGCATGCCATACAAAAGATAGCCTTGGCGGGTTTTTTCTGTGTATGCAATAGCAGTTGCGTCCGGAAACGCTGTGAAATTGCGAGTACGTATGAGAATAGGGCTTCTGTGTATTTTTTTTGAATTTTAGATTTCTCTATGTATCACGCGTGAGGGCAAGGACAGCTCAAAGCAAGTGGAAGCGTTCCGAGGGGCGAGTAAACGAAACACCCGAGTTTTGTGGCGACGCGAAACTCGCAATGTTAGTTATGTGTCACCATCCAATCTGCAGCTTTCAGCCATTATCTACTCGGTAGAGTAGGTAAGTGTTGTTGGAAGTAACACGACAATTACCGATCCAACACTTAATTGGATCTGGGATTGTTTTTATCCCTTTCTTCGTATCCTTATCTTGAATATCTTCAGTTCCAATCTCCTCTCTCTCTCTCTCTCTCTCTCTCTCTCTCTCTCTCTCTCTCTCTCTCTCTTTCTTTGTTCCTGTTCTAGACCTTCTCTCCCCTTGAAATTTCTTTCGTAGTCTAGACCATATCCCTATATAACCCTAACCCACACACCCCTTAACTCACACCTAACCCTGCATACGTCTAACTTGCTATTACCATTTCGTCATATTCAACACCATCACTTCAAGCCTGCAAACTCTTCGCCTCTGCTTCATCCCGACGGTTCAACTCCGTTGTATACGCATCTAGCCGGTATTTCTTTCTTCTTTGCTGTGTTTGTCTGCTTTGTCGCCGCTTGCATACATAAAAACGCCTCCTCAAGGCTGCGACCCTAAGTTTCCGTATCGATAGCCAGGAGGAATCCCCCTCCCTTCAACCCAGAACTATGGGTTTCTCACGCTCTGTGCGGATCATCACTTTGTTAGTGATTGATTCGCTGTTCTTTCTACTCGAGATCATCGTTGGTTATTCCGTGCATTCACTGGCTCTGGTGGCGGATTCGTTCCATATGGTAGGGTTGATCCATGGGTTGTTGCTCTCGTGAGAGTGGGCTGACTGTAGTGCCTATGTAGCTGAATGATGTTTTTTCATTACTTGTCGCGCTCTGGGCTATTAAGCTTGCAAAACAGAAATCTACTTCTAGCTATACATATGGGGTTTGTTCCCGGTTGCTCTACTACTGCTTGGAGGGGGGGTGTAGTATTTTTCTGTTAGCGCTCGGTGTTCAGGCTGATCCTTTTTGCTCTTATAGTGGCAACGTGCGGAAGTCCTCGGCGCCTTGATCAATGGCGTTTTCCTCCTCGCCCTGTGTTTATCGATCTTCCTTGAAGCTATCCAGAGATTTTTCGAGCCGCAAGAGGTTGGCCAGCCCGTTCTCGTGCTCGCTGTCGGGAGTGCCGGGTTGGCGTCAAATATTCTTGGATTATTCCTGTTTCATGACCATGGTCACTCCCATGGAGGTGGTGATAGCCACAGCCATTCTCACAGCCACGATATTGAAGCTGGAATTGATGGCCACGAGCACCATAAACATACTCACGGTCTACCCGGTCACATCCACAACCCCGCCGAAGATGACAGTGGCGACATCGAAGAAATTCTCCCCGCCAACGTTGTAGCTCGTGTCGCATCTGATGCAAACACCGTCTCTAGGTCTACCCAGAAACACAAGAGGAATAGTAGTAGGCAGGCACGTTTTGCATCACCAGTAACACATATTCACGTCCACCCTGCCCGTAACCGACAAGAGGTCATTGCCGCTGCTGTCAGCGACACCGAAGCAACCTCCGGCACTTCCGACGACGAAGAAGGTGGTGATGAAAGCACACCACTCGTATCTAAAAATGGTGATTCCTCTTCCTCTACTCGTAGGCGCGCATACTCCGTCACCCACACCGGCCATAACCACACCAAGCCTAAGCCCGAAGGCGCCTCCGGTCATTCCCATGCAAACCTCAACATGCGTGGTGTTTTCCTGCATGTTCTCGGCGATGCCCTCGGAAATGTCGGTGTTATGGTTGTTGCTCTCTGCCTGATGTACATCCCGGACGAGTACACATGGAAGAACTACCTAGACCCCTCCATCTCCCTCATCATCACGGTAATCATTTTCTCATCCGCCCTACCGCTTGTTAAATCCGCTTCCAAGATCCTTCTCCAAGCCGTCCCAACCGGGATCTCGCTCGAGGAGGTCAAGGAAGATATCGCAGACATCCCCGGCGTCGAGTCTGTCCATGAACTCCACATCTGGCAGCTCTCGGACGTAAAGATGATCGCCTCGCTCCACATTCAGATCGCCTTCGACCCTGACCAGGGCGGTCGTTACATGCAACTCGCACGCTCAATCAGAACCTGCCTTCACGCTTACGGTATCCACTCCTCCACAATCCAGCCAGAGTACACTAAGCCGGCCGGCGGCGACGTCATCGCCGCTGACATGAGCCCTGGTGGCGTGCAAGTCACGGGATATGGTGCCACAGCTGGCGGCAGCCGTGCGGGAAGCGTAACAGGAAGTGATTCGGCATGTCTGTTGGAGTGTGGAGATGGGTGTGCGACTGTGAAATGCTGTGGACCAGTGGGACAGGAGACTGCTGATTCGGGACATGGCCACGGCCACGGACATTCTCATTAGAGACGGAGATTTAGACAGAATGTCTCGGGTCGGAATCTTTTTTTTATGATGGCTGGTTGGGAGGTTGTCTGTGGAGGCATGCTTTTAATATGACTATATACCTGAAAAGGGGGGTTTTGTGTTGAGTGCAGTCGTTTCTTTTTGTACTCAATATGCCATTTTTTTTGTATTTTATTGGTAAACCCCCTTTTTATGACTCTTTTTTTTCTCTTCTTTTCCGCAATTTTATATACTGTTTTTTTAACGATTACTGGGCGGCGGGAAGAAGGGAGCTGGGAGGGGTGCTTGGATAAGAAGTAAGTAATAGAGCGAGAGAGAGAGTCGGGGGGGGAAGTCCTCTTTTATGTATAGTAGAGTTTTTGAAAATGATTGTATAGATACCTGGAATTACCTTCATGGGGTGTCACTCGGTGGTGCGTGCGGGGTTAGATTATCACAGGGGGCCGATGTCCTCTCAGGTCAATGTGTATAATGAGAAAGGCTGGTGAGAGTGTGTCTACATATATCTATACCCCTCATTATTGTTTCCTAGCCTTTAGCGAAGGTAGTAGTTATATAGCGGCTGCAGGATGTTGACTACTTAATTGAAAAGTTATTAATTGTTGTGCGCGAGAATTGAAGAGACAGGCGGAACTGAAGCTATCACGATCATAGTGCGGTAATTCACTACATAATCCCTCTTTCATACCCTTCTCGATCACATCACCCCAATGCCAACACTAATAGGTGTATGAAAGCCTACACCACCGGCCGGCATACGGGTACGTCCAGGCTGGAGGGATACGATACTATCTAGGGCTATTATCAACCTCCGGATCAGAGGCAAAACGCGAGCACGCGGGCCACAGTTTAAAGCATTTCGGCCTCCTTGTATCTTGAAGCGGGAGACGTGGTGCTAGCGTTGGCGAGAGGTATGGATAAAGTGTGGTTTTGTCATTGGCCCCAAAGTACATCCTGCTGAGAGTTGGAATCACAAGTGTAACCTCCGGCTGGCCCTATGTAGCATTTGATATATATATATAACTTACGCCTTGCTATACTTGAATGTGCTAGGGTGGTTTGAAAGGGCGATAGTTATATAGAGGATTTAATTTGTCGAGCCGACCTGAGTTCCTGGGCTGGCTTCATGTGTATGCCGGATCGGAAGTGTATATATATACACATGACGGGGCCGTATATCTTCAACGAAAAAACAGCCAAGCCCAGGGCACAAAGCTCGGCGCCAGCCCAGCCCAGCCCACCAAGCCTTGGCCCGCATCCAGATAGGCCGTCCCTATATTGGCAAATCCATCATTGACCCCTACACACCAAAAGTTAAAACCCGTCCTCGCAATCATGAGTCAGGAAATCGGAGCACGTGTGGATCTAATAGTTCCTAGATAGAACAGGGTTACGGGGATACGGATTAAATGCAGCTCTATAATTTGAAGCACAACAGAAACAGACAATAAAAACCCCCAAAAATCAATTGGTTAGACCGCACATCCGAAGTGCATGGCCGTGGTGGCTGCAGGCACATAATAACTCCCAACTACAAGCATCCACCACTCCATTTGTTTCTTCAAAAAGGCTAGCACCACACAAAAAACCCACCACCACCACCAGCCCCACCACCACCACCACCACCAGATATCACCACTACAGGCTATACATACATAACCTACACCCTACTAAACCGTAAACCCATCCCACAGCCGCCCCTTATCCACCAACATGCCCTTCCCATCAAACTCCACCCCCTCCCCCTTCAGCAGCTCCAGCTTCTTCGCGCACTGCCCCTCCGCGGGTGAGTCGCGGCCCCAGTCGCCCATGAAGCCGCCGATATACTACTCCCGCCAGTCTGTCAGCAAATAGCCAAATCTATCAAGTAGGGGAGAGGTAGCGGGGTAAGTACCCCGGTGGAGGCAATGATGCGATGGCACGGCACTTGTGGCGCATACGGATTATTCCCTGCGTCCGTTAGAATCGCGCAGAGAAAGGGAAAAAAAGGGGGGGGGGGGGGAGTGGGGAGTGAGTGACGTACGGCAGGCACCGCCGACAGCTCGCGGGGAAGAGGAGAGCGCGGTGGAGAGCGCTTTGTAGGTGCTTACTTTCCCGGGCGGGATCTGTGTTGGTGGTTAGCTGGGGATATCTCGGGGGGTGCGGTGGGAGGGTGGAACCTGTTTTAAGAGAGTGTAGACTTTCTAGTGGGTTAATAGGTTGTTAGCTGGAGGGTTCTGGGAGGTAGACATAGGTTTTTTTTTTGGGGGGAGGAGGGGCGTGCTTCTTGGAATTCGGTGACCATTTTTGCGGCTTGGTTGATAGTTCGTGATTGATTGTTGATTGTTGCACGTTGGCTGGTGGTGAATGTCTCGTCTCGGGAATTCAAGCGGACGCGTAAAGTGGGAGGAGACGCGACGAGACATGAGTAATAAAGATGCCCCGTTCGGTATGTCTTGGCAGTCTGGATGGTTACTGACGGGGACGAGTGCTTCTAGACGGGTGATTAGTAGTGATGCGAATGCCTCTACAGAGTCATATCATTCGAATGCTGGCATTGCACGGTGAAAAGGCCGGAATTAATTGCGGGATTGGGGGGTTCACTGAACCGCGTATTGATCTCGGTGTGGTTTAGATGAAGAGCTAGCTGGCTCTGGCAGTACTGTCGTCGCTTTGTGACCTGATACGAGATCTAGGTTGGAGACTCAATCTATAGATATATAGGCTGGTACCTATCCAGCTAGAGCCCTGGGCGCGCATGAATACATCCAACCAATCGAATCGCACATTCTCAACCCAGCGGTTCCGGGTCACTGCGGCCGTGGGGGTTCTCAAAACTAATAAAGTAAGCACCGAGCCAAAGCACATTCACGGCTCTTGTCTGATCTCCTGGGGCGGAGAGCTTAACGCCACAATCTAACTAGCTAGTAGTGGAGTCCATGTACAAGTATTTACTATCGGAGTGTTGGAGTATCTTTAGCTTCTCTTTTATATTCATAGGTACATGATACATGCTCTGTCAGTCGCCCGGCCTATTCTGTTTAGCTCTGTTTAGTTCCGTCGAGACCAGAGACTAGTCAAAACCTCCGCTTGAAATTGAAGTTGGTGTCCTGACCGTTATGTTGGTTTTTGAGCCCACATGCCACTTATTTACTACTGAAACTCTCCCCTCTTTCTTTGGGCGCTTTGTCTTGCCGTTGATACTTCCGTGGGATACTATTTGAGACTAAGGGTGCGGCACCCCGGAATAGGGATCTGGGGACCTATTGACACCTATGGGGGTTTGGATCTGAAGTGTATTATGAGTGACGCGTGGGTGCTGTTCTATGTCTAAAGTGATAGCATCTAAAGCCTTTGTTTTAGTAGCAGGGATAGGATTCAAATGATCCGGATATCCTTGGAGCCCAGCTCATTTGAATCCTTCTTCTCCGGAGGTGGTAGGTTTCCCCAATGGCCAATGATGTAGTTGTGGGTTTCTTCTGAATACCCATAAGGGCAGGGAGCTATCCTATATAGTGACGCCAGAAAACATCTCCGGGACTCGGGAATCTAGACTCTTGCAGACAAGTATGTATAGGCATGACTTATAGTCTCTGATAATCACTAGGTATTATCAGCGGGTGTCCCCTGTTGGCACCTACATCTCCATTATATATATGTGTGTGGTGTCTATTCCTGCGGATGTGCTTTCGCCGATAATTGAGCTTGCGGTTTGGACTAAAAGCATGAACCCTTTCTCCGTCAACATGGGATAGGGTAGCGATATATCCAGCCCCCCCCCCCCCCCCCACATCAGCCCTCATCCGACCCAAAAACACGCATCGCAATCATTCCCCGAGTGACACCCCATGAGCCAAGCCACCCCCTGGCCTCCCAACCAGCCACACCGCACTCTCACCTCCCCCCCGAGCTCCAGCACTCCAGCTCGACACCCACCCACCTACCAACCCACCTACCAACCCACCGCACACCGCACACCGCACACCGCACCACCGCGCAACAGCACAAAACACACCCCACAATGCTCGACCCGCGCTTCTCGCGCCTCGCCGTCGCCGGCTCCACCCTCCTCATCGCCATCCTCGCCTACGCGTCGCAGCTCTTCCTCCTCGCGCCACACCTCTCCCAGCGCCAGAGCATCTTCTTCAACACGCTCGTCGCCTGCATCTGGATCAGCTACTACCGCTCCATCACCACGCACCCCGGCTCGCCGCCGAAGGACTGGGCCCCGCCCGCGCACGACGGCGCGGACGCGGAGGAGGGCCGCGGAAGGGCGGAGGAGCGGCGGCTGGTGGTGGGAGCGGGGAAGTGGTGTCGGAAGTGTATGGGCTACAGGCCGGTCAGGGCGCACCATTGCCGGACGTGTAATGTGTAGGTTTGGCTCCAGCTCTTCTACGGGGGTGAATTGGTGGGGGGGAGCGGGGTGGGCTGGGTGCTGGGTGCTGATGCGGGGGTGCGTGTGTGCAGGTGTGTGCTTAGGATGGACCATCATTGCCCGTGGACGAACAACTGCGTCGGGTACCGGAATCTGCCGCATTTCTTGCGCTTTTTGGCCTATAGCGCGTTTACGTCGTTGTATCTGCTGACGCACCTGTTCTCGCGGTGCTCGGTCGTTTGGGAGGCGCGGAACACGCCTGCTGTATGTCTCCCCCCCCCCCGGGCCCGCCCCCCGAGCCCGCCGGTGGCCCGCTACTAACACACCGCAGTACTCAAGCCCGCACACCCTCCCGCAGCTCCTCCTCCTCACAGCCCTCACCCTCGCCACCATCTTCACCACCTTCGCGCTCGCCATCCTCACCCTGCGCACCTTCTGGTCCGTGGCCAACGGCTACACCACCATCGAGACCTGGGAGCAAGACCGCCACGACGCGCTGGTCGCGCGCAAAAAGGTGCCCCGCCAGGAGTTCCCCTACGACATCGGCTTCTGGGACAACCTGTGCAGCGCCTTCGGCGGCACGGGCAACATCCTGTCGTGGGCCTGGCCGCTCGGCCGCACGCGCTCCGTCGGCGAGGCCGTCCGCGGCAGCGGCGACGTCGTGATGCGCGGCGGCCTGGAGTGGGAGGTGAATGGGTATGAGGACCTGGGCGTGGTGTGGCCGCCCGTGGACCCGGATAAGCTCTCTGCGGCCGGGTTTGGGAAGGCGGTGGATCAGGCGACGGTGGCGGAGGGGGGGGGCGGCGAGTGGGTGGAGGGCGTGAGGAGGCGGCAGAGGGAGGATATGGACCGGCGCAGGGCGCGCGGGGAGACGGGGGCGCGCCAGGAGGAGCTGAGGTATCCGAGGATTGCGGAGAGGGGGTGGGAGTGGAGGAATGGGGAGGGGGAGTCGTTGGCGGATTATGGGGTTGAGGTGGAGGCGGAGGGGGATGATGAGGATGTGCCGTTGGCGGTGTTGATGAAGAGGAAGATGAAGTAGTTAGGTGGTGGGGGTGTGTTTTCTTCTTTTTTTCGGTTTTTTTTTTTTTTTTTTTCTTTCCCTTTTCAGATAGATAACTTGTAGTTTGTTGGCTCGTGCTTTCTCGGTAGTAGATGGATATAGATTATAGGCGTAAACTTGAATCGTAATATATAGCTCCGCCTAGTAATGCATCTTCCGGTGGTAATATTCAGGCATCGGAAGTAGAAGAGATACGCCTCCATTGATCACGAATCCATGGCCTATGACCATAAGCATAAGCTCTGCGCCGATAGGGGTTCATAGATCAAAATTCAGTTAGCTACCCAGCTAATTGACCTGCGGAAATGCTCATTCAATTTTCACTTATAAACAACCCTAACCCTCACCCTTACCACCGCGACTGCAAGCACTCTACAATAACCTCAATCGACCGGATCATACAGAGTAGATGTTTTTACACCCAAAAACTTCCTGTCAGCTGTTCAATCGCATAAGTACATGTATGCAGCTGTGGTTTCTTTCCACCACCGACCGGGTCGCCTTATCTTGGCGCCGCAATGTCAATGATCGATATTCCCGTTTTTTTTGTTCTTCTAGCAGCTTAGTCATTACCCACACACGAGAGGGGAGGGGGTGGATGTTTGGAATGCTAGGCACCGCTTCCACACGGACCAGCCTCTGGCCGCGTTGTCCGCATTGGGGGTGTCGAATGGAATGTTGAAAGAGGCCCGGAGAGGCTGGTGGAGGGGGTTGGAGATGTGGTGGCCCGTGTTCATCCATCGCGCAGTACGATACATGGTAGATCTAGAAGGGACCGCCGTTAATTGTTTCCGTAGAAATCTGTTCTTGGGGATGCTAGCAGCTGGTGGAAAGGGCGGTATGGGTGATTTGTGGGAGGCCGAGAGGGGGCGCTTCTGGAACGGGCTTGTGCTGGAGATGCAATGGTAGGATATATAAGTGTTGCCGTAGAACGTACTTGTTTGGGACTTTTTGTTTCTCGTCAAGATCTCTCTCTGATCCAGCCACCGTACCAGTTCGTTAGCCAGGCCAGGGTCTTTTTCTCGTTCCTTTATTTCTCCCTCCCTTCCTTCCTTCCTTCCTTCCCTTTCTTTCTTCAGTAATCCAGTCAGTCTTCCAAATCTGACGTTCATATCCCCTTCCATCCACTCTCTCTGATCACCACTCTCAGCACAGCCAAAATGAAATACCTCGGCCTCCTCTTCCTCTTCCCCTTCCTCACCACCGCCCACGTGCTCATGTCCTCCCCGCCGTCGCTCGGCTACGCAAAGAACCAATACGTAACCTCGCCCGACTACGACCTCAACTTCCCCATCAAGGGCGCGCAATTCCCGTGCAAGCAGTACCACAAGGACTTTGCGCGCGGCGCCGGGAGGAGCGTGGTTACCTGGCCGGCGGGGAGCATGCAGAGTTTTAGGTATGGCCTTTTTTTCGTGTAAATCTGGGGGGGGGGTTGTGGAGAGAGGCGGTCGACTGATGAATGGGGTGTGAATGTGTAGGACTGAAGGTGCGGCGGTCCACGGCGGTGGCAGCTGCCAGGTGTCGCTGTCATACGACGAGGGGAAGACCTTCCGCGTAATCAAATCCTGGATCGGTAGCTCTCCCATCCCCCGTCCCCCATCCCCCGTCCCCCGTCCCCCATCCCCCGTCCCCCGTCCCCCATCCCCTCCCTCCTCTCCGCCCCCCTCGCCCCTCCCACACTAACACCCACCCCCCAGGTTCCTGTCCCGCCGAAAACACGCCCTTCAACTTCGCCATCCCGCCCTCGGCGCCCTCCGGCGCGGCCCTCTTCGCCTGGACCTGGTTCAACAAGATCGGCAACCGCGAGATGTACATGAACTGCGCGGCCGTGACCATCACGGGCGGCGGCAGCGGGTTCGCGAGCATGGTGGACAACCCGCGCGTGTTTGTGGCGCAGATCGGCACGAACGCGTGTACGGTGAAGGAGGGCGTGCCGGTGGACTTTCCGAGCCCGGGCGCGGTGGTGGTGAGGGGGGAGCGGGGGGCGCCGCCGAATGGCACGGGGTGTGTGTAGTAGTGTTGTGTCATGTCATGTGGGTTAATTGGCGGGGGCTTGGTTACCGGGTGGTTGGGGTATTGGGTTTGGTGGATTGCAATCGAGGTTGTAGAATAGGATTAGATCATCTAGCTTTGCAATATTACTATATACTCGGTTCTTGTGTGCATTTGTTTACAAACTACAACTCTTGCATAGCTGGGGGAGAGAGTAATCAAGAAAAATAAAAAAAAACCTGTGAAGAGATGGCGGGAGTGCGGGGTGCTTCGGTACCACGTGTATGACGATACGGGGGCTACATCGAGTGATCTTTTGTGACGCGGTGTCATGGGGTATCACTCGATAACGTCTCGCAGTGCAGGGGCGCGCTGTTTCGGGCTGCTGGTGATCGAGGTCTCGCTGTCTGAGTGAGGTCTCGGGGCTCTAGTACTCTTAATGCTCGAATGAAGGAAGATGAGAGTGATAATGACGCTTGCAATTGGATTGAGTCGCCGCAGCTAAACTTTATATGATCTCAAAACTAACACATATAATGCTTAACCAGTTATAACAACATAGCCCTTGTAACATGTCTTAACACCAACTCCGCTGATCTGCCCTATATAACGGCTATACTTACGCGTACTCATAGGCTATAGCATGTACATACATGTAAGTTATCTCTGGATGTAGTTAATGTTTCGTTCCATACACGTGATCATTGACATTAAGGTAACCGAATAAGTCAAATCACAATACAATTAATGAAGTAATCAATCAATCAATCAATAAAGTCGAATCACAACGTATCACTCACATTTGGACTCTTTTCTGTTTGTGAGATACTAAGGCGTTCAGTGAAAACAGGCCTAGGCGTTGCAACGGGGCGGCTTTTTACTGAACACCCAAGTAGTATACTAGATCAAGTAAAGGGTGCGAATGTAGACGTAAATCACACCTGGGTAACTAAGAAAAGTCTACCAATATGCAGCGATATCTCGTGAGATTCCACTGCTAGATATTCCGCTAGAACGACGTAGAGAGCCTCTAAGGTTTACTGCTTGATGAAACACATCTTTCATCCCAACGCCCTAACCGCAACCGACTTTTCAAAAAGAGCGGCTAAGTCCAACAACCTTGCATCATCTCCCGACCCCCCCAACAAGGTTATCGAGAATGGCATCTGTTTCCCGTCGTCCAAGTCGTACGTTCCCGCCGGCATAGCAACCGCGCAAAGATCAAGCACATTTCCAAAATGCGCAAAAGTCCCCAAGTCCGAATTGAGCGAGATTGGGTCCTTTAGGACTTCTTCAATGGTGAAGTGGTTAGGTGTCGTCGGCACTACAAGGATGTCGATACCGGATGCGCGGAAAGGGTTGAAAATTGTGTCGTGGACAGTCCGTGTGAGGCTACAAGATTCATATTAGTACAGTGCTGACACTATAAAATCGGGTTTTAGGGAGGAGGCGTGCATTTTCACTTTCTTTAAATCCCTAAATACGTCTTCTGCAGTGTTTCCTCTTTTCAACACACTGCCAAAAACCTCTCTGGTAACTGGATGCAGGTTGTCCTTATTTGTTTCGTACCAATCCTTTCCCGAGAAGGACATCGCAGCGAGCCTTTCGTTCACTAATGTACCATCATATAGCAATCCTCCCGCCTCCTCAAATGGTGTCCAGTCAACCTCTATGAGCTCACCTCCCGTTGCCTGTAGTTTTGCGACAGATTCGTAGAATAGTTGATAGAAGATCGGCGCACACTTGGCAATAACGCTTTGTGGCGGTATTGCAAACCGAAACTTGTTTGCAGATGGTCTGGTGGCACTAAGATATCTTGACGGCAAACAAGTGTTCGGGGGCTTAGAATAAACGTCCTCCGGGTCATATCCCCGGACGAATCTCCATATTTCCCTGGCATCACTGATACCACCACGTCGGGTAGTCATAAACGCTATACAATCCAGAGACTCACATGCTTTGGAAACTCCAGATAACGAGACGGTCCCTTTCGTCGGCTTCCATCCAACGATGCCGTTGAAGCCTGCAGGCACACGACCGGAGCCCGCAGTATCAGTTCCGATAGCGAAAGATACGAGTTCTTCACCGACTGAAACTGCGGCGCCAGAGGATGAACCACCGGCGATGTATAGTGGATTGAAAACGGAAGCGGGAATTCCGTATGGGGAGCGGCATCCTGTCATTCCGGTGGCTAGTTGATCCATATTCGTTTTTCCGATGAAGATGGCGCCAAGAGATACTAGTTTTGTGTATATCTTTGCAGAAATTCTGGGTATATGGGCTAGCGGGGGACAGCCGATGGTTGTGGCCATTCCCGCAACATCGATGTTATCCTTTAGGGAAAATGGAACGCCAAAAAGAGGTGGTCGAGATGCACGATCGGGGTATTTCTTGAGGAGATCTTGTGCGGTAGAGATAGCGGCGGCTTGGGGTACGATTGCAATGAATGTAGAGGATGTTTTCGAGAGATGTGTTTCGATCCTTCCATACACACCCACTATCACAGTGACAGGGGAAACACCAGACTTATAAGCTTGGCGCAGTGAAAGCAAGTCCAAGGAGCCATTCCAACCATCAGTTGCAGAGAGATGCTTATCGTCTGGGGCAGGAACATGGGTATGTGAAATGAAATCTTCAAGATTAACAGAAAAGCCAACCAGTCCCCGGGACCAATGCTCCATTTCTAAGGAGGAAGTTCGAGGTGCGTCGTTGTGATCCGCTATGGAATCAACAATAATACCTAAATAAGCCATTCTTTTAGAATATATCTTTTACGAATAAACTTTTTGATACAAAGATAATCGGAGATCTCAACTCACAGCACTCAAACCCTCGATCATAAACTTCTCTGGAAGTGACTACAGCACAACCTTGTGTGGTAATACCCCCAATTATGAGATGGGTAATCCCCCATATAATCAATTGCTCATGCAATGTTGCACTCCACAATGCCTCCTTACCAGGCATATCAAAAATCATTTCCCACGGCTTTAGCGCACATTCATTGATCATGTGATAGTCATTTCTCTTTCCACTTAATACTTGCCTACTTTCGATTGTATTCTCTTCGATATTTTCATGCTGCCCCGGACTCTGGATCTCTGACTGCTTGGGGAGCTTTGATGACGGATTTCCTGTTATAATTCGGCTATGAGGTTCTCGTATGTGGAAAACAGGCATATTCCGCTCCCGAAAGGTTTTGAGAAGAATAGTATATTTGGAGATGTTGGGTTTTGTCCCTGGCTGAAGAGAACCGAGATCATCCAGAAAGAAGGAGTTCTTAGTCCCGTGTAAATCGATCATTATGAGCGCAGTTGATGACGTGGGGAACGAGTATGCGCTTGGTTTTGCTGGTATCGTGAAGTCTGCGATGCTTGACATGGTGATCATGACTAGTAGGAAGTGAGATTTTGGAATAAGTCACAGCGTATATACGCACACATTGAACTTCCCTCCGTCAGAAATAGAACCCTTAGTGATATAACCTGGAGGACATAAAAGAAACTCGGTATATACGTACGGCGGTTGAGGCAAAGAGGGGTTCGAGCCGAAAACGTTCCGAATCCCCGAACAGTCCCAACGTCCTCAATTGATCAAACCAATGCAATTATAACTCAAACTTTCATTCCTTACTTTGGAAGCATTAGAATTTTCTTGACGTTATGCGGCTAGACCTAAGGGCATTGCGTTAATTTCTAGTACCAGTTGGGTTTCATAGCTGGAGCAGGGTTGGAGAGCGGATAGAGACACTACCTCTAGCTAGCCCCCCGTACGTAGTGTCTGAATGTTAGTTATTCAGGCAAAGAAATCGATTGGTGTTATGTATATATGCAGGACAGCTAAATACTGTAAAGATATTTTTGTTGGGGTAAATTATTAGAGTTGAATTTAAAGACGGTGGGGCAAGAGCTTGATGTGACTGATCAGCTTAGGAAGTACTGACTACGACCGCCGACGCGACGGCCCGAAGCCGAGGAGTCGTTATCGATAAGCTACATAAGCGAAAAGCTTCTTCTTCCCCACAAAGCCTCATCCGGATATCTGTCATCATCCTCCAGTTACATTAACCACATCACATGTAGACACCAGCTTATCGGACAACTTTATCGGGCCGTGGTGAAAATCATAATCTACATGCACTTTATCGCGCGTCGCTAACCTGGTATGTAGACACAGCCCTGCGATTTCTCAGGCCATACCAATATTAGCCACACAGTCTACTGTCTTATCAAGTCTCGACATTACAGCCACTACGGGACTCATTTGCGTAACACCAACTAGTAGGAAAGATGTATCACTCAGTATGTTTCGTTTGAGAGATATTGACTATCCCTTAAGCTGGCAACAAATGCTGACCCCTCAAAAAAAGCAAATTTTTGTGTGGCTTTACTAACAGATCCTGTTATCTCTCTTATCAAATAATAGATCTCCTATACAAACCTAGTTCCTCTGTTATAGGGGGGTCAGCATGCCAGCTTAAGGGATAACCATGGTTTTAACAATGTTTCGTCGATTTCAAGCTAGGGACCAAAATTATGTCTTGGATGTATGTCTTGGAATGCTACCTTGGACATCAACTCCCTTCCCTTAAGAGAAGGTGCAGCTTTATACCAACCTGGATGCGGGATTCTGGTATTCAGCTTTTACTTCATGGCTCGGTAGAGCCATTCGAAGCTTTGAAGCTTCTCTGGAATTCTTTTTGAAAGTAGTAGCGGGTAAAAAGGATAAAAAAAAGAATATGGATCCATGTGTTTCTAATTCCCGTGGTTGGGAAATTTAAAGGTGTGCGCTCAATCCTTCATCCGCCGGTGACTATGAAGGTGCCGCTTATGTTATTAGTACATACATAGCTTTGATGTATATGAACGGTACAGTATCTATCAGGCTATTGAAAACCATATCATGATCGCAGGAGGCTGTGATTTTGTCCCTGACGAATCAAGAGCTTGAGACACGAAAAACAACTACCAGACAGCTTAAGCATTAGGCTTGGCGGGTGAAGGTAGCCAAAACACTCAAGTACGAGAAATTACCATTATATATAATTGGAGTTTGCTGATGGAATGCAAGCTAGATCATGAGAACATGACGTGGCCCCATGTAAGTCTCCTCGGAATGAGGGCTTGTCGGGTAATGATAGGTTTCCTCAAAATCCACACCCCGTCACCATATCATCTGCTGATGATAAAAGCCGTCATCCCTGTGTGAACGGGCAAGCTGTTTTCGACATAAGATTTATTAGACCTACATTTAAATAAACCTCTATCAAACCCTCAAAGCCTCCCGCAAGCGAGTTATGATATTTACAAAACATAACTCGTGGAAAACGACGGCCTGACCTTTATAATATGGGGCATATCGATTGAGTGATAACTTATCAAAGATCTTCGTCTCTGGGCACGGTTTTATAAGAGATCCCCCGCAATTTCCACTGATTGGAAGGGTAGAATTAAGGCAATTGTTCTCTCCCAGAAATCTCTTACAATGTTTCCTTGGGCTTATTCATTTAAAGGTGTGGCAATTCGCCAAACAATGATGCTGAAAGAAGAGAATGGAAATGGATGGAAGGCGAAAGTAGCGACGAGATATGTTCTAAAAACAAGTACGGGCCCTACTCACTCCACGTCGAGTTGTTTCGAGGTAGTTATCTAACCAAGTCAAAGATATTGAGGATATTGATGATCTGCCTCTAGAGTTCATCATTCAGCCTTCACCAAACAACTCAACGGTAGGATTTTCGCCAGAGATCTTACCAATTCTCTGGCAACATAACCTCGGCGCACTGACACTGTGAGTCTATGCGCCGATACAGAGCGGAGTCGAATGTTACAGGCCGGCAATAACCGGAAAGGCTGATAGCTTCTTCATGGGGAGAAGATTTATATTGGCTGCTATTGGGCCGCTGGAATACACCCCCACCCTCGTTCAGTAGTTATAAATTTTTTGACTAAATCCTATTTTTTTTTAGCTAACGGTGTGGGATTTAAATTGTTCGTTATTAATAGACGACTCGGCCATCTTTCAAAGTTATTTGAATCGGACACGTTGCAGGTAAATCGTTAACAGTTATAGTATGGAAATAGTTGTCAGTATTTCGGCCCCTGATTATATCGCGGTATTTTCTCAACATTATACTCTATGTAGGTGCTCGTGGTGCTTCCGCCAGTCTTTTCTGTTGGGTATCATCTGAGCGCAGGGTTAGGGTTTCTTGGAACGACTTTGGAGGAGCGCACAGCATGTTAAAGTCGACATGTTGATATACCCCCCCCCCGGTTTCAAATAAAAGAAACATGGAACACAACGTCCAGTAACGGCCCTAGCTTTCCCTCTTTTCTTCCTGGCTGAACCTGCAAAATGAATCCTCTCATAATCGTCTTAAACTATTAGTACCGGTTGGTAAACACTCTGGAAAGTTAATAAAAGCTACGATATATAGATGTGATGATTTCTTGGCAGATTTCCCCTTCTTTGCACATTACTAAGCTTCGCCAAGAGTATCCAACCAACCTTAAATGTGGGGGGATGCATGGAACGTGCGTTGCTCATACTCTACATCGTTTTTTTTTTTTTTTTTTTTTTTTTTAACTTTTGACTATTTTTCAATCTTGCAAGTGCTTTGATGATTTCTTGGGCTCGATTTACACACCTACGATACGGTAGGTATCAGATGATCGAGAGCTACGAGTATCGTATTGAATACCATGACATGAGATTTGGCAAGAATCTCAACTGTTTGAACCAAAAAGTAGTTCTTCTATGCGTCCATCACCACTGGAAAGCCTGTCGACATCCCCGTGTTACCATCGGACAAGAGCGAGGCTGAACAAGGATCTGCCCCTTGGGAAAGCGGTAGAGATCGGCGTTGATGAGAACGAGCAGTTGATCCAAGATCAGAAGTATTTTGGCATTGGGATATCGGGAACGGCAATATCTATCACTCCCCTAGACCTCTCGATACCTTCTTGTCCTCTTCGGCACTACAGGCAAATGCGCGTCCGACCTATCCTTTGATGAATGGAGTTGTTTGATGGGGATGCAAGTAAGCAATGGTTTTGTGACGGGCACTCCTGCAGGCAGACAGTCTTCATCACGCTTGCAATTTGAATCAACAGCATTGATTACATATGCATGTGATACAGCCCGTACTATTCGTCCAAAGATTTGTAGATACAGAATAGAACTGGACATGGGGTAATATGTACCGAGATTGGTAAGAGAAATAGGTTGAAGGTGTCCAAGAGGAGGGGAGAAGCACAATCTGGTAGGAGGAACACTCGTGCGAGTTCAGACAATGGGTACGTTGGATGTTTCTTCTATTTATTTTCTTGTTTATCTATAGACTCGGGAGTATCTCACTGGTATCGTCTCTGATCTCAATTGAATTGATTGTGGGGAATGCCGATGCAGACGCGCCATGCGCAGATTAAACGACGGTAACTGCGCGGTGACGTACATGCATACCTAGAGCGCCCTAGGAACGTACTCAGAAAGAGAAGATATGGGTATGGGTGTAACTGGGCGTACTGAAAGACTGTCGCACAACCTTTTTTTTTTATCCTTCAGTTAGAGCGAGCTTCGTTCCTAATTTTTCCTACTCCCCAAGAAATCAGTACCACTGATCCACTACAATCTTTACCAAGACGAAAAAGAACGGGGAACACCCCGGCCGGTTACCGGGAAAAAATGACAACTTCTGGCATCTGCTCTTGCTTCTCCTCCTCCTCGAGCTCCTCCTCCTCCACGCCCTTCTCCTCCTCCTCCAGTCGATTCCTTACCCCAATTCCACTCACCCTCCTTGTTATATGCAGGTATCATAAATACGTCCACTATGATAGGTTCTCCTGCTTAAATATTTATCCCCACTCTGTAAAAAGAACCCATCCTGGCTAGTAAGTAACGGTATGCACATGTACCTACCGGTAGAGTAGGTACGAGTAGAGTGTTGCCCAGCCAAAACCCGGGAGATTCGATCGCCCCATCGTCAAAAAGTAATTCCGCTGCGAATACCTCTTCCGCACACCCCCGTCCCCATATTCCTCACGCTCAGAGATGACAGAGGCTTGTCTACGCCTTTATGTAATTTTTCCCATAGACAGATAACTTGAACCCTCGCGATGTCTCGGATCCCAACTAGCCCGTTTCTGGTCCGTCCCTTATCTCTGTCACACCCGAAAAATAACCGCTATCATCAAACACCAGCGCGAAAATGCGAGATAACCAATATCCCCATACCTGCTGAGTGTTGTGCACTTCACCTGCCAGCCACCTTTGGGGTGAGGCGGGGAATTACACTCACCTACCTATTTTTATTTTGTTCATTCAATCCGTACCCCACGTTCTCTTGATTCACTTTTTTTTCGTTTCCTTTTCTTTTTCTCACTTCTTTCCTAGCTTTCCTTCTTTGCTTTCCACGGACCATTGAGATCGCCATTGTGTGGGGGGTCAAGGGCGTTCAGTAAGGAAACAGCAACGTGGGTGTGGGGTGGGTTTCGCTTTCTCCTGTTCATCCTAGGTCTGAATTCCAATTCATCTATTGCTATTGCTCGTTGGACCCTCTTGCGCTTGTCGGTCTTGTCTATCTTTCTGCCTGCTGTCTATCTGCGTACTTGCTTGCCATCCTGGAAGACACGTTACGTTGTTTATCAAGGTGAGGGTTTTAGTGATTATTCTTTTGGGGTTGCTCTCTCTCTTCCCCGGTTTCTTCTCTTCCCCTCATCTTCGTCATTTGGTAGTAATCGGGGGTCCTCTGTTCTCGGGTTCAAAGTTCATGGTCACGTCGTTGTTCATTCACTGGCAACATCTGATCTCGTGAGATACGGACGTTACAAACTAACCCCCCTGCTTTCGTACCTCAGTAATACAGAAACAAGCCATATTATACCACTCCCATACCATACCATACCAGGCCATACCAGGCCATACCAGACCATATCCTTCGTCTCACTGTAATCAGCCTCAATATCGTATACCTTCAATCCATACAACTGTATTACAGATTACCTGGTTGTAGACTAATCTCAAACGGACATTTCCATAATCACATAGGTATGTTACAAAGCCCCTCTTTATAGAACGTCTCATTTGTAAAAACTCGGGAAGCTGTGAACACCTTATACTCACAACTGTATTGTCTTTTGAGTGTGTTCTGTATCCTGAATCCTCTCGATCTCAGTGTGTCCAGGCCCGCTCCCATCAAACCAATACACAGCCATACACATACATACAACAGCCCTAGCCTCATCGATAGGGGAAAGGCTTATCTGCAGGCCTTCCTCATCTCACCCTTTTGGGCGGTTTACTCTCTCCCCTTGCCCTATTTAGGATCTCGCTGTTCACCTCCCGAGAGACCCGTAATCCTGGGATCCTGGAAGCCGGAGAGCTCTACATACATAATTCCCCTACAGTAATCTAATCTACCAATTGCCTGGTTTCGTTCAACTGCGATAAGCTCAGCACAGAGTACAACCCAAACCCAACACACGACCAATCTTTTCCCCTTCCTCCATCTTTCTTTTCCCAACTTTTGCGCACCCTCACCCCCCCCCCCCCCCCCAAACTCTCGCCCCTCCATAACTTACTACTGCTACTACTACTGTCTATCTACTATCTATCACTACTACCTACTGCTACTGTTACTACTGCTCTTCTGCTTGCCTTGACTTCTTTGGTCTTTGAGCGCGTGTGCTGTCCTCTCTTGACATATCTCGTTTGCCGTTATCACGATACCACCGTCATCTTCACCCTTCCGGCCCGCGCGTTTCACGTTCAATCCGTGCAATAAAAGGTCCTGCACAAAGTTTTGGCTCTTGGATTTGGACGGGGGTTGTATGTGCTTTTATTCATCTTCTAGCTACCGATAGCACCTCCTAGGACAAAGAGAAATTACAGGTTTAAAAGAAAGGAAAAAAGAAAAGAAAGCAAACAAGAAAAACAATAATTCCGGAATTAGACAATTCCACAGGTTATCCTCCACCAAAGGCAAAAGAACAGGCCATGAGTCTGAACAAGTCGGGCGAAAATGGGAGTAGCGGTAATAGCATTAGTAGTAGTGGAGCGACAGCAGTCGCTACAACTGCTGGAGCAACAACTACTACTAATGCTGCCCCCAGTACAGTCACCAATAACACCTCCGGCACTTCTTCTTCCTCTAGCGCTGTTCCCCAAGCGAACGCGACGATATCCACAAACGGATCATCCTCGTCATCCGCTGCCTCTCAACCTCAGAATCCTCCCCAGAAATCAACCGGTAATGCAGGAAAGTCCACGGGATCCAGTGTCAATGGAGAGAATGGGACGAGTCGGGGTCGAAGAGACCGGCCTTGCGATGCTTGCCGCAGGCGAAAGAGCAGGTGTGTCATGAACGAGGGCGCAGAGATATGTGTACTTTGCCAGTTCCATAGTCAGGAATGTACCTTCGTGCAATCGCCACAGCCACGGAAGCGACGATTGGCATCTTCCAGTGTACAAGGCTCGGAAGAGCGATCTGTCAATAAGAAGCGGTATGTTGTCTTGTTATTTGTAACTGGAAGATTTTATAAAAAGCCGGAAAGAGCAATGGAAGGAATACATCATTCAGAATCCATTGTTTGCTTATAGATCCCTATGTTCCTTTTTCATTTTGGTTCAGTCCCTTTCCAATTTTCTGGTGCAAAGCTCATCTCTGGGAATCATTCCCTAGAAGCAGGTCTACCGAGCCAGATTCACCGCAAGAAACTCGCGGCAATGTTTCGGTAGACGAACACTCCAACCAACGTGGACAATCGCTCCTCAAAGAGACTTTGGGTCTCCAGAGTAACCGGCACACTCAGTTGATAGGCCCCACGAGCGAATATGAGTCTTGCTTGATAGACTTGTGCCCATTCGACAGCAAGGACGAGTATTCACTCTCCTCTATGGGGGGATCTTTCCGCCGGGTATCCGACGAAACCACGTTCCTTGTGTTTCCCGACCACTCGACGCAGAATCACGTGGAGACATTTGAGGACCTGGATGCTATTGAACGCATCGTTGCACCACATGGGTTATCGCTCATAAAATTGTATTTCAGAATCGTGCACCCCTCATTTCCGATTCTGCACAAGAGGGTATTCCTTGAAAAGTATTCCCGATCATACCGAGAGTTCTCACCGCCGTTATTAGCCGCAGTTTACATCCTTGCCCTCAACTGGTGGTCATACGACAGGGACCTCTCTGCGCTGAAGAAACCTGATGCTCAGGCACTCGAGAAGCTCGCTAGCAAGACAATCTCTGACGTCATGCACCGGCCTAAATTATCTACCGTCCAAGCCGGCCTTCTGCTTCTTCAGCAGCACTCAGATCTCAAAAGTGGAAGTTGGGCACTAACGGCGCAGCTGGTGGCAGTTGGGCAAGACCTAGGCCTGCATCTAGATTGCACCTCGTGGAAGATCCCTAGTTGGGAGCGCGGACTCCGAAAGCGTCTAGCATGGGGACTTTTCATGCAAGACAAATGGGGTGCGCTAACCCATGGCCGGCCCTCCCATATCACGAAAGCGAATTGGGCAGTACCCCCCGTTAATTCGGACGACTTTCCGGAACGGGCAGAGGACGAATCCGACGACGAAGGGGGATCATCGGAGGTGGAGAAGGGTCGGATGCTATTCGAACAGATGATTGTGCTAAGTGGAATAATGGCGGATGTTTTGGAGACATTTTTCACGATTGAAGCTCAGAGTGGACTGGGTGGACGCGGGGGTACGAACAGAGTTCTGGAGAGGGCGAAACCGATTCAGATACGGTTGAAGGAGTGGTTTACGAAACTGCCGGATTGTCTTAGGATGGATTCAACAAGGTTGAGAAAATTATCTTCTAACGGTTAGAACCCAGTGCTTGGATTTTTGTTAGGCGTGTTTGATACCGAATTTCGCGGCATTGCGGGAACATTGCGGGGATAAGCTAGCATTGAATGTGGGGTGATTTTCCCACGTAGATGAGTAATCTGGAGAAAGTCCAATCGGCGATGCGGAAACGTACTTTTCGACACATTGCAGAACTCCAGGTCATGGAATTAAACAGAGAAACTGGCTGCAAGAGAGCGTAACTGGGAACTGGGGAATAGGACTGGGCGCCTGTATCCTGGTGTCACAGCCTCCCATCTTGCCCCCCCTCCCCCCCTCTTGACGCCGAACCGAAAAGAAAAACGATACGCAAAAGGCCTCCTTTTCCATGAAGAATCAGTTTCTCTGTTTTATTTCCTTGACTTAGAGTTTGTAGGACCGGGGCGACTTTTCCTTATGTACATCATTCCTGGAGGAGTTCTCGCAATGCCGTGAAATAACGTATACCTCTCCTTCAAACGAGTTTCTGACGAATCTGTAGGCTATCTTCATCTTGCGTACTTTGCGACAGAAATAACCCTCCACCGTCAAATTCTCCGCTCCCTTACCCCACCAACCAATGTCGACCCATACCTGTTGCACATTTGCCGCTCTGCAGCCAAAACTCGTCTCATCTCCGCCATGGACTTTGTCAACCGTCTCAAACCCGAACATCTTCAATCGTTCTGGTATTTTGCTTCAAAGGTTAACTTTGCACTGATCGGGACGTTCGGATCGTTGCTTTGGGCGACTTCCCCGAGTGCCCAGGAGGCTGAATTCTATAAAGCACGGCTCAGTGAGTATAGGTGGACGCTTCGTGTTTCATCACGAGGCGCAGAGTTCATGGAGTATGCTGTTGGTGTGCTAGATGCCTCCGCCGGGCACTCCCAACAAGAGCAATTCAAGAAGAAGGGGCTAGGAAACGTGGCACCCGGATACACATCCACTGTAGGAGCTGGAGAGGGATTCGGTTTGGGAATGGGTGTTGGAATGTCTGGAGGTGAAATCCAACAGCATCCATCCATCATCATGTCTCAACAATGGCGTTCCAACGTTATACCACACGAACGTGGGCATACCCCCCCCGGAACTGGCGACGAGGACAGTGGGGACGAGATGGACGATGAGGGCGCAGAGACGGATGGATCTAGCACGTCAACCAGGCGTACTCGCGACCAAACAAACAGTCAATCACCGAGCATGAAGGCGTTCCACGGGTTTCCATTCCACCACACTGATAATCCTTTCCCGCACAACGATCCGTTGGCAACCAACGCTTCCACGCCCACATCCACCACTTCCTCTGTAATGGACTTCTTTATGATCCCCCATAATAACATGATGACAAGAAATAATGTTGTATCAGCTGTCGGAGGTGGAGGTGGGGAGCTGGATTTCCTGGCGACCACGGCGGGGTGGCATAGTCGAAGAGACGGGGATGATTAAGTTCTTCCTCCCCTACCCCGCTGTTTAGGAGCAACATTCCGTGGGTAAATAGGATGGGTGGCTTTTCCGGTGCAATCCTCGGTTAGGCGTGTGCTGGTGCGTAGAAACTAAAAAAAAACAAAAAGAAAGTGAAACGAGAAACAAGAGGGGAGGGAAAAGAAGAAAGAGCGGAGACTGGTGTCCTTAACATCTTGCGAGCCCTTCCGCGGAGATGGTCAATTGTGCTCTTATTTTGGCATGGTATGAGCACTTTGGGTTTAGTGGCAGAGCTTCTTGGTAGCATGGGTGGATGATGACACTTGACGAGGGAATGGCCTCAGACGCGCAAACACTCATGTGAGGCTCGCAGGAGCGTTGGATTGGTGAAAGGGGATGGTGTATGGCGAAATTTTCCTCAGATGGTTCTTTTTCTTTTTCCTGTTTACTTTTTCTTTCTTTCGATCTTTACCATGAGCAGATTTGTTTTTTTCTTTCGGATAAAAGCTTGGATTTTTTTGGGTAAGGGAAGTTATGATCACATCATCCAGGGATGTGAATTCGAATTCGGCGGTGTCTGTCTTAAGCTTCCTTTTTTCTTCTTTTCTGGATTCCTGCTCTTCTTTCTTAGAAAGTTGGGTTCTTTTTATATTATAACCAGGTGACTGTTTATAGATTATTTATCGTGAAGCGTCGAATAGCTTTTTGTCCTTGGCTTGATTTGTGCGGGTGAGTGTTGTCGGTTTTTCCTTCTTTCTTTCTTTCCCTTCTGGTTGTATTCTGCGGGGTTGAGCTTACGGTAGCTTAACGGACTGGTGGATTTTTATTTATTTATTCCCTCCCCCCCCTTTTGCTTTTCCTATAGCTCTCGGGGAGCTGTGCTGTGCTGTATGTGTTTGAAAGAGAAACCAATGATCCAGATCGTGCTCTTTGGTACACAGGTATTTGTTGTTTATGTGCGCTGGTTGGATTGATCCGCAGTCAAGTTGAAGAGAGTGTTACGCTGTTACAGATACCCGTAGTCCCTCATGCACGCTCTGTCCCATTATTGCTGCTCAGTCACAACGGATGAAGGTGTCGATACTTATTCAACGCCGTGAGCAATGTTTACGTACTCTAGAGAGCAATTCGAGCGGATATTTCAAAGCCATCCTCCTAATTTAATCCATACATCCACGCAATCAATCAATTGTACACGTCTACATCTCTTTCCCTCAGCTCACTACATACTCCCCACCAAGGTCCTCTCCATACTAATCATCACAATGCGTCACGATAACTGACTGACTGAAAACATGCTATCCTTCCTCCCACTCGTACCTGGTATTCGACACACCCACCCGGATCCATCACTGCCATTCGGTGGCCCGGCTACGGCAGGGTCGAAATTCCGGGGTGCAGGAAGAAATACTGGCTGGCCTGTGCACCGGCACAGCTGTCCGGGGGGGATAATATCGCGGCGTGGTTTTTCTTACGAAATCGATGAACTGGGATTATACTTTTTTTCTCTTTCCCCTAGCTTCCCCTCTTGCTGGAGTGGACGTTCTCTAACAACTTGCCCAGATTGGTAGGTACCGGGAGAGAGACCTCAACGAAGGAACTACAAAGTATGTATGCATGTAGGTCGGTGTTAGTATTGCGTCTCTATGCGTGTATAACTTCGGCGCTCGTCGGCTTTGGGGGTGCTACGGGTGGGTCCTTGCGGTTCCTCGGTGCTGGGTTTGCGAGGTGATGGATGCGTGCGTGCGTGGATGGGGGGATGGATGCGGATGTATCCATGGAGGGGAAATGGGAACAGGCGAATTGGGGGTTATTCGCTCAAAGCATGTTGATGGCATTGGCCATTATGTACCCACTCAACTCTACAGACGGAGGGCGGGAAGAAAGAGAGGAGAGACAATTGAGTAGAGTATGTGCTCTAGAGTGCTAGGGCTCTAGACTCTAGAGCAGGTATGTCGGGCCAGGATCAACAGGGGACGCACTTTAAAGCCTCGTGGAGAAACAGCGAATCCACTTCCACGGATCCGGGTCGTGGCTCACCTCACGATGAGATTCAAATATTATCCACACATAGCTAGCTACATTTAGCTACAACTTACTACTCTACATGCTAGGCAGAGTAGAGGAGGCCCTTCCGCCGGATGTAGAGGTCATTTGCTTCACAGATGCGCAGCAATTAGTAACAGACAGACGGCACTTGCGAAAATATGGCCTCTCCGTTGGCCAGGCTGATTTTTATGACTCCGCCCATTCATCGCGGTGTATAACGTGTAGTAGAATAGGTACTGTAAGGGACAGAAACAAAACAGAGCTGATACAAAGGTTTATTTAGAATTGAGCGAGGGTAGGGTTGATCCTGCCGTATCTGATTATCTTTCAAGTAATCGTTCCCGTTTGGGCTTCTCGGCCTTGGCAAGGCGTGGTTTGTAGTTAGCTTTGATTCGTGACAGCAAGCTGGCTGGCTAGCACGATACAAGCCAGGGATGCAGCTTGCTCGAGTATCCGTATGTCCTCACGAGTACTCTACCTACTCTACATGTAGACACAGATGTAGAATCCATTGGCATCCACTTATTCCAATTGGCAATATATGCTGGATTACTAAATGTAAATACCGGCACGTCTGATATCGTAATGGAAGTTTTCCAGTCAGTCCTATGCCTGGTGAGCTAGAGCAGTCGCCTACATGTAGCTACATGTAGTTAAGCTACATGTAATAATCAATCGACGAACCGAGGATCGTGGCTCCACTACTGTGCGAAACATTAGTCTTAGCGCCAGCCAAATAAACCTACATGTACATACTGTACTTATTCTACTTGTAGCTATCTAGCTAGCTATGTAGTTATCGCTACTGATTTTGAAAGCTACTGGAATGGCGAAAGCTTCACCTGCAGCTTTGATTTTGTTACAGACTTGGATTTCAAGATGAGATGTACATAACCAGCTTGCTACTAATATCTTCTATGATCGTGAAAGCATTATGGGGATCGAGCGTTTTTTCCCTTTGTCTTTGCTACATACCTTTTCCAGTTCGCTGGTCGTCATCTATGAAGGGGAGCGTGCGGTGTTGAGTTCAATTCACTGACTAAAAATCCTATCACGGGGGTTCAACTAACAATTCTTTTTTGTGTGTACAAGGAATTGGTCTCGGGGTCTCAGACCTTCATGTCCCTAACCCATAGAGTATCTCATGTTCATTGACCTTCCGGAATAATTCAATCCGAACGGAGAATAGAAGAACAATTAGAATCTGGAAGTACCATGTGTAATAAAAAAGAGAGAGACAAAAGAAATAAATGTGTACGTAGTAAAGCCTAAAGAAGCTGTCCCCCGATACAATTACAATTTAAACACATATGCATTCTACGCCTGAGACTGGCCTGACAACTCCTATAATGGTACACCAACAAATGAAATAACATTCAAGTTTTTCTTCTCTCGCTGCCCGCCTGGCTTGTCACTGCTTTTATCCACGAGCCCACCACCATCCAGCAATGGAAGGGAAATGATAGAACACACCAAGGAAAAAGAAAGAAAAAGAAACAGACCTTCTATCATCCCCACAACTATTGTCTACTATACGAAAGGTCACCCTCACGGAGATCCTCGTCGCCGGTATCAACAGTTTCGAAATTGTCCAACCTTCCAAACTCCGCATCCCTAGTCAACGCAGGACTCCCAAAATCCGAACCACCCATCCTCCCAAACTGCGCATCCCTCGTGAGTGCCGGACTTCCCCCAAACTCCGACGCCGTATCTCTCTCCCAGATAGCATGCTTCATGATCTCCGGCTGCTTCCCAAACAGACAACCCCTGGCGGCATCGAGATCGATAGGCTCGCCCCTCGCCTGCGAAGATAGTCCAATCTGTAGTGGGATTCCTTTACGTGTCTGGTAGTACGTGAGTCTGGGGTTCCGTTTCTGGAGCTCCTTCTTCAACTGAGCCCCAGTGTATGCACATGTATCCGGGCCTAAGTCTTCCTTGAGAGACTCAGCAACGTCGAGGATGGCTCTGATCTTGCCGATCCGGTGGCCGGCTTGGTACAGCTGGGAGTGGAGATATGCGTCTAGCCAGAGAACGAACATGCCGAGCACCCAGTATAGGTGCAGGCCACAAACAAACTTCCAGACAAGCTTCGAGAACCCGTACGAGTAATGGCCGGAGGGGTGGTCGAGGCAATTGGTCATGTTGTAATCAAGAGGGTACCATGTTCCGTTCAATACCAACGTGTCACCGTACCTCTCGGCGGAGCCCATAAAGTCCTCTAGGGGGATCATGGACTGGTCCTCAAAGACGATGTAGGGAGATGTGTAGTTGGTGTAGCCGGTCATTGCTGACATCAGTGTTGGAAACATGGAGATATATGCCACCGAGTACAGAATGAATAAGACCTTGATCATATGTTTTCTTGTGGCCAGGATCTGGTTCTTGATGGCTAGGACCATGGCCCAAGGACCTATATCGAATGCAAGTGCAAGATAGAAATCGTACCCGACGGCGGAGGTTTCGGTAACATGGTCGAGGGTAGCAACATACACTTTGTGCGCAATCCAGAGAAGCACCAACTGCCCCCCACGCCCAACGATGATGTCCCAGGCGATGTCAATCGACTTGGCCACTGTGAAATCCAAGCTCCCGAACGAGAGATCGATGGTGATCCCCTTTCCCAGTGGGGAATAATGTCTACCACGAGCTGTCTGCTGTCCTACATTGTAGTTCACGGGTGTCCCGGATCCAGGGCAGAGATCTCTGCTGAAGCTTTGGGCCTGGGTCAGGAGGATCACGCCAGAGACGATGAACAATGTCGCAAAGCAGACTACCACCGCGAACACTATTATTATCTTTCTTCTCCGCTCTTGTGAGGATATCCGTGTTAGTGTGATAGGTGGGAGATGGGATTGAAGATCTCGAGCACGCTGGTACTTGTGGGTAAAGAACATTTCGGTTGAATCTATGATCGTCGAGATGATTGGTTCTGTCTTCTGGGAGAATAAGCACTAAACTATATTCGATTGGTTTTTGATTAAAGAGTGGTAGTTCTAAACTAGAGAGCTAGAGATTGAGATATGCGGAGTACCTTATTTTGAAGTCCAGAATCACCCCGCAATTAAAATTAACTGGAGAGGCAAGTTGAAAAGCTCACGTCCTGGGGTGAAACATGGATGGGGTCAGATGGAATTCAGCTGAGAAGTAGGGCTATGGGTTGGCAAAACTTGGCAGCTAAAACTACAGTACCGTACATGATCTTATGTGAGGGGTGGGACCGTGGGGCTGAAATGAAAAGGGAAAAAGCAAAGCCAACCGAGTGATAACTATGAATAGTGTTGATTGTAGTCAGTGGGCGATAAGATACAGTTCTTTTACCTGGTAGATATTAATTGGTCCTATAAAGTGTGTAACTCATTGTTTCAATATGGATATGCTTATTGACGAGGATACCTATCAAATTAAGGTCAATTTAATACACCATTTCTAGCTAGGAAGGCTTTTAGTGTTAACGTTTCATATGATAATGGAAACAATTAATCATGAGGTTTAATTCTGATACTCTTACTTGACATGATATTAACTTGGGTGTTAACTTGGCTATTAATTATAAGCTGCCTATAGGCTTATAACCTTTGTCCGGCCGGGTTTGAGGTCTGCTTGATCTGATAGAAATGATATCCGTCGATGAAAGTACGATCCTAATCCTAAAAGTGAACAGGAAAACGGCGTGACACTAAATAGGAAAAGCAGATAAATGAGATAAGGCAGTACTCTATCAAAGAACATGCTCCAAACACGATGAAAAATACTGCATGTAGTTGTTATATCTTATATTCGGATGTTCCCACTTCTGAATGTTAATTTGATTCATACATGTCCACGTATGTCAGCACGATTTACTCATCTAATTCAACGCCGCTAGATTCATGGAATTGGGTGATGTATACCCCAGTAGCGTTTTACCGTAAAAACGATCGAGACTCGAGGGATAGAGGCACATGTATGTATCTATTTACGTATAAAAGACATGGAATGTCCACTGGCCCTGGTTTCTAAGCCTCACACATAGCAATTAGAAGGCTTACATACTCGCTTGTCAAGTATGTATTTGCCCAACCAACAAAACACACCAAAAATCGAGGTTTTCAACAATTCATAAAAAGTCCCATAGTTATACCAAAACTGCAACGACCAAGTATAGTATAACTCGATAAGGGAGATTCATGCTTCAAATACTTGGCCTAATTGAGATACTGGTAAAAGTGGAGAAGAAAGCAATAAAAAGGACTTTTAAGACACCCTTCGCCTCGTTCTTTATGGATATGGCCTAAAAGTGGCCTGTAGAGTCTTTCAGGTGTCTAGATAAAAGATGGATAATTTCAGGGGAGATGGGAAAGCTCTCGAGATTCTGTGTGTTTTGCTGGTTGCGCAAATACATGCGAGTACGTCATGTACCTATTGGGATGTCTCTTTCAAAAGTCCCTAATCCTTGACTCCCACCTGTGTTACACAAGAAGAACCTAATCTTGCTGCATCTGTCGGTTCTATGATACCCGCCCCGCACTAGGCACATCAATAAACGGCAATTTCGATACTCGCAATGGAGGTTTTGGGCGCAGTTTCTGGCGCTTTTGGGATTATTGCGGTAACTCTACAAGCAGCTAAATCCATATCGAGCTTGATAGGAAAAATCGTTGATGCTCCTCACAGTCTCCGAAGGCTACATCAGGAGCTCCAGGATCTAGAACTCATACTCACACAGTTAAACCAAGCCAAAGATGACCAAAAGATCAATGCCGGCCAGAGCCCTCTGGTAAACGCCGTTAACACCTGCGGAGCTGAGTTAAAACGACTTAAAGCACTCCTTGAACCGCTTACCTCAAAGCTATGTGATGATAGCAGCAGACTACACCGTCGGGGAATCCAAGGGATTAAGGCGTTCTTTAAAGACGACGATATTAAGGAGGCGGTCACTGCGCTGCAGTCACGGAAGCTATCTATCTGCTTAGTATTGATCGCAGATACGTCGAAAAGGTTTGGCATACCCTCAAGATCTTGCTTAGATTCAAAAAATGAATATTGATGATCAATTAACTATCCACAGGATCGAAGATGGCAACCCTAAGCTTTCGAAAGGGGATACAAGTAGTGCACTTAGATCCACCAGCGAAGATGTGATTAGCCAGATCTCTACGAAGAATTTAGAGGAAATCATCTCCCAAACTATACGAAAGGTTCAAGAAGAATTTATGCAAGAGCCCGGGGCGAATATTGGGGCTTTCTTGAGGCTTGAAGGTGTGGAGTTTGATAAGTTATGGGCAACAAATCTAACTTCGGCCCGAAAACTTCAAGGTATGAATGAATATCAAATTATTCTTGACATAATATCGCTTACATTTTTATATTATAGCGATGGTCCATGATCGACAACGCGAAGGTATTTAGAATGAGTCTTATATACTTATCTGTGCCCGCATAGGACTTAACTAATATAATGAAAGCTTTTCTGCTGTCTTTAAAACATCCGGACTACTATGGCGAAAAACTAAAACTAAAAATTCCGCAGTCCGGAACTTGCGAATGGATCTTCACCCATCCTCAATACCTAGCTTGGTGTGCAGATCAGGACACATCTGTCTTGTATTCTATGGGCAAGCCTGGATCGGGAAAGACCGTCCTTTCTAGGCATGTTCTGGAAACTTTGCAGCATTCCAGCTCAAGCCCCAAAAATACACAAGTTCTTTACTATTTCTGCAACAATCGAGATAATCCTAACCTTACTGCCACCGATGTTCTTGCAGCTATAGTTCACCAGCTCCTTTCCCAGATACCTTCCTTGTTCCCCTATATCGCCAAAAAGGCAAACCTTAATAAATCCAGCTCAGAGGTCATTCTATGGCCATTGGAATCACTTTGGGACATGTTTACTATCATGGTGGCAGCCTCTCACCTAGAGGTTATCTACTGCATATTAGATGCCCTCGATGAGTGCGAAGCAGAATCAATATCCGAGTTATCCCTATTAATCACAAAAATGACCGAGGAATCCAAAGAATCAGAGGACTCTCCAAAATTAAAATTCTACTTAACAAGCCGACCTTTTCAGAGTTTAAAGGAAGATTTGACGACTGCCCGAGTTATCTACCTTACTCCAGAAATTGTCAAGACAGACATCGAAAAAGTCGTTGATGATGGAATGGAGAGGTTGCAAAAACGATTGCGCTTGAAGAAGGATGTCAAGGACAGACTTTGGAATATGTTGGTGGAGCGCTCGGAAGGAATGTTTCTCTGGGTATTATTGGCAATTAAGCAGTTGGATAGGGCACGAGGTTTGACCGCCCAAAAGCTAGAAGCCCTCATGCAAGGCTTGCCTAAAGGCTTAGACGGGATCTACGATCGGATGTTGGAGGCCCTAGAAAACGATCCTGATGACCTAGCTCTCGCCCGGAAAATGCTGAGCTGGGTCATTTTGGCCCCAAGGCCCTTGACAATCCCCGAATTTAGGGAAGCAATGGCTGTACAAGAGTCTTCATATTCTGTCGATTCTATCCAGGAGCATTTGATGTTCAACGTTTCCCGTGATATACGTACTATCTGTGGCTCATTTTTAGAGATGATTTCGGGAATGGGGGATCCAAAAATGATAACCAATAGCGACGACGACACCCAAGAGAACGATGTTGACGAAGACCCTAAAGCAACAGTCCGCCTTATTCATCAGTCAGCGAAGGATTATTTTTTCGATAAAAGCCGACGGCTTGGATCCCACCTTTCCAGATACCGAATAGACGAGCAGCAAGGACATAACGAAATAGCGATAACATGCCTCACATACCTTCTGTTTATAGATTTCAAGAAGAGCCCTATCAAACGCGAGCATATTCCTCCAAGGCCTTTCACACCCAGTGCCTCCCCAATCGACATTAATGATACAAAAAACATACACATGCTTCTCGAAGATCGTATCGCGCAATATCCATTCCTTGAGTATGCAGTTCTTCTATGGGCAGATCATGTTAGATGTGGCGGAGAAACCTTTGGGCATAAATCGGCAAACTCATTAGTCACGGAACTCGTATGTCGATTTCTAAGGCAGCCAATAGCTTTGGAGTTTTGGCATCAAATATACTTCTTTCGCACAACATTTATACAGAAAGGACATGATCCCACAGATTATCCCAAAATGATCACTCCGCTCCACGCCGCTTGCTTCCTACGCTTACCTCACGTCATACAGTACCTTCTGCATAACTGTAATGCCGATATCAACGAGACTTCCAGCTCAGGTGAGAACGCACTTCTGTATTCGGTTTCTGCTCTGAGTGATCGGACGAGTCTACATACTCTGAAGGTTATTCTGGGCAGTTTTCCGACGATCAACATACGAGACGGATATGGTAGATCTGTACTTGCCCGAGCAGCTTCCACTGGCTCTGTGGAGGGGATAGAGTTGCTTCTCGAAGCAGGGGCAGATATAAATGATAAAGCTGTAGAAGTACTACCGGCTTTACATGTTGCTGCACGCCTGGGACATAGCGGGGTTGTGGAGTTACTTATCGCCAGGGGAGCAGACATTGAAATCAAAAATAATGGTTCAACTGCCCTACATTTAGCTGCGCAGCAGGGCCACACCCAAGTTGTCAGTATACTTCTCGATAGTGGGGTAGGCATCGAAAGTAGAGATCACCATGATTCAACTGCCCTAGATTCAGCTGCATATGAAGGCCACATCCACGTTATCAGTCTACTTCTCGATAGGGGAGCAGACATCGAAAGTAGAGATCACTATGATTCAACTGCTCTACACAAAGCTGCACGGCGGGGCCACGCCCAAGTTGTCAGTATACTTCTCGATAGAGGAGCAGACATCGAAAGTAGAGATCACCATGATTCAACTGCCCTAACCATAGCTGCAGAACAGGGCCACGCCCAAGTTGTCAGTATACTTCTCGATAGGGGGGCAGGCATCGAAAGTAGAGATGAGGATGATTTAACTGCCCTAGATTCAGCTGCATATGAAGGCCACATCCACATTGTCAGTCTACTTCTCGATAGGGGAGCAGACATCGAAAGTGGAAATCAGCGTGGTACAACTGCCCTATATTCAGCTGCACAGCAGGGCCACGCCCAAGTTGTCAGTCTACTTCTCGATAGAGGAGCAGACATCGAAAGTAGAAATCAGTATGATTCAACTGCCCTAACCATGGCTGCACAGCAGGGCCACATCCACGTTGTCAGTCTACTTCTCGATAGGGGAGCAGACATCGAAAGTAGAAGTCGGAGTGGTACAACTGCCCTAGATTCAGCTGCATATCAAGGCCACATCCACGTTGTCAGTCTACTTCTCGATAGGGGAGCAGACATCGAAAGTAGAGATCACTATGATTCAACTGCTCTATACAACGCTGCACAGCGGGGCCACGCCCAAGTTGTCAGTATACTTCTCGATAGGGGAGCAGACATCGAAAGTAGAGATCAGCGTGGTACAACTGCCCTATATTCAGCTGCACAGCAGGGCCACGCCCAGGTTGTCAGTCTACTGCTCGATAGAGGAGCAGACACCGAAAGCAGATGCCAGCGCGACTCAACTGCTCTACACAAAGCTGCACAGCAGGGCCACGCCCAAGTTGTCAGTATACTTCTCGATAGTGGGGCAGGTATCGAAAGTAGAGATAAGTATGATTCAACTGCCCTAGATTCAGCTGCATATGAAGGCCACATCCACGTTGTCAGTCTACTTCTCGATAGGGGAGCAGACATCGAAAGTAGAGATCACTATGATTCAACTGCTCTATACAACGCTGCACGGCGGGGCCACGCCCAAGTTGTCAGTATACTTCTCGATAGAGGAGCAGACATCGAAAGTAGAAGTCAGGGTGGTACAACTGCCCTAGATTCAGCTGCATATCAAGGCCACATCCACGTTGTCAGTCTACTTCTCGATAGGGGAGCAGACATCGAAAGTAGAAGTCGGAGTGGTACAACTGCCCTAGATTCAGCTGCATATCAAGGCCACATCCACGTTGTCAGTCTACTTCTCGATAGGGGAGCAGACATCGAAAGTAAACCACAGAAGTTATCAAAAGTCCTACACCTCGCAGTATTATATGGGCATCACGAAATTGTCAGTTCCATCCTCGACAAGCTGGCAACATCAAACAAAGCCGCCATTGGATCCACGTTCAGGATCTCTGCAGGGCTTCTGCAGCTGACCACACTAGGGGCGAATCGCAATATTTTCAGGTTACTTCTGGATCATGAGATAGATGTCAATATGGCCACTCTGCGGGGTTGTACTGCACTCCATGTAGCTGCTTCCTGTGGATATTTAGATATTGTTGAAAGTTTGTTAGTGCATGGAGCAGATCCCCACACGAGAGATATACAGGGATGGTCACCAATCGATTGTGCCCGGAAAAGTCGAAAAGCACAAGTAATTGAGCGGTTATCTCAATTACAAACTTCCTCTTCCGGCGACCATCAAATCGTTACTCAGTCCCCCACACATTGGAGCCCAGAAGACAAATCTACGCACATTGAGCTTTCAGATGGCAACCTCCATGTAAGAGTTTCAGGTAGGAACCATGATTGGTCCAGCAATGGCGTGACGACTCTAATGTTTCAAGAAGACATAGCAAGATTGAAGTGGGTTTCGGTCGTAAGAAGTAATTTTTGTATGCCTGCAGAGAAGGATAACTGCTATTATGAGGCCAAAATAATCGAAGGGGTAACCGGGTATATATATTCAAGGCTGATTCTCGACAGGTAATCTTCTAAGCTAACATTCAGAATCCCCATTTAGTGAAATCTGCATCGGGGTTTCGCGAGATTATCTATTTTTCAAAGAAATGCCGGGCCGAATTTTCGGATCATATGGCTACCACGGGCATGAGGGTCCTTTTTTCGCGGGCGAAAAACCCCCCGCGGCCGATGGTGGGCAATATGCGACTTTTTCGAGTGGTGATGTAGTCGGATGCGGTGTCAATTTCGACCGGTCAATGATCTTCTTTACCAAAAATGGTAAACTCTTACTAGGTATGCCAAACTTTGAATCTATGAACCTCCGACCACCCGGTTCTAGCTCCCTAGATCTATGAATAAAAGTAAAGCCGGAGGATCATTAACACAGTGTGGATTCATCAGATTTTACCGCGGAAGATATCACAGGTCAACTATATCCTATGATTGGATTTGAAGGCCCAGGTGGAGAGGTGTATACCAACTTTGGGCAAAATCCTTTCGTTTTTCAAGATTTTGACAATATATGAGAGATATATCTGTGTTGCTGGTACCTTACATCTAGTTCTTAGTTTTTGGAATATAGTAGCACTTGTCAATTCAGGTCGCAATGCTGTTATACTCCGTTGATCAAGACGTGCATTTGGTCAAGTGGGCGCGCTATCGAGCAAGATGATGAAAGGGGCGACCCTTTGGCCAAATGGGCGTCTTGATGGATTTTTGATCCAATGATCAAGAGGTCGCTTCCGGCGTAGGTCTACTAATTAATGTGGTCATGACTTCAACCCACTTGATGCTTAAAGCCGATACTTGATAGGATATCTTTGATCTTTCAATAAGGCAGATGCTCAGTACGAGACTTCAATTGTTTTCTTTTATATCAGGCCGCAGGTTCTGACTTGCAATCAGTCGACGTTCAAACAGAGCACAGTAAAAATTCCAACCCCACAGTGGCTATTGGAGGGATGTAATTTAGAGAGGTATTTATTAGCACACAATAGGCCCTGTTGCCTTCGAACGCTGGAAGCTTGATGGAATTTCGAGAGGGTGCAATTATTATAGATTTCTCTTTGCGTACTTGATGACTGGAGTAGAGCTATTACGCGAGCTTGATTGACGGTACGCCCAATTCATCATAATATGGGCCTTCTGAAATGATCGCCCTATCCATCAATCTTAGCGAATTGTGCGCGCACTTGGCCAAATCGACGTCTTGGTCGATGGATCAGAACAATGCCGAACGTTAGAACCAAAATTAGCGCTGTACTAGGTCAAATTGATCAGAACTGTTTTTCTGGTTATTTATCGTAATATTATGTAATGTATAGATAATCTTATGCAGACCAACCCTTAAGATCCATCCATTTAAGAGTATAAGTGATTAGCGCGGTTTCCTCTCTTCCTAGGCAACGTTATAGCACCCGTGCAGTGCACTCCCGCAGGTAGTCTTTCTCAATTGTACGTGTGCACATACAGCTGCAGGTACAAGTACTCATGTATATATATCTCAACAGAATTTCCCGCCCTTTATAGTCCTTTGCCATCATAGCTTGACTTTAGTACATAAATCCTATATATATGATTTAAATTTATACCCCCAAAAAAGTTTTCCCATAATCAGTAGAATCACCCATGTCTAATCCCTGTAAATATGTAAATGGCTATATGGGCACAAGACTTTAATTTTTGAATACTGCGAGTGATCGTATATGATCTAAACCATTGCAATATCAAAACACAGTGTACTTGGGCTCGTTCTGCTGTAAACCGTCACATCTAATATCCTAATCAAGCATCCCTATATAAGCAACTTATCATGACTGTAACCCTATCGGACCCCACATGTTGCCTTAAGTCTCAAGAATTCGCAGAATACAGGGCGCACGTCTTCTCGACAATTCCGACTGACTCTGACAGTGCACTGCTAGTACAGAGACATAAATTAATCTGATGATCTCCGCTACCAATTCGTGGGCAATGTTCATCTTGCCTCTCAGTTGCAGTATTGTGCCAATAGCTATATACATGTAAACTATCAAAACAAGAAAAGGCATGTAAGTACCGATAGCATCCGGGAGTATTATAGTCATATCACAAGCGCTTACCGGCCGGCTGAGATGACCATATTTTAGTACTTGTCGACAATGAAACAACGACTTGAAGGCCTCGGCATATCATGGCTATAGGCCTTGATTCACGACTGTTATAATACATCCCGTTAACTACTAATACTGTCGGTATTATATCCTCCTTGATCCTGGTAGTATTCTAGTACTAGCTAGATACTCGAAATGCCATTTCTGTATCTTGATAGATTCCATCCCTGGGATAGTAATACAGAATGTTCCATCTTGTCGTGGCCGTGGCAAAGTCACTAATTAAGCCACAGTTTAATTTAATAATAATATTATAAAAGTGACTTAGTCATTCGGCCTTGTCGGCCTGGCAAGGCGTATACATAGTTTGAGAACCTCCTTCCCTAATTATGTTGTAGCCAGCTACATGTAGTGACTATCAAGTTTTTGTATGCATGACTGATCGATCGACTATGTACCGGGTGTTGTGGGTAAGTGATCAGAATCTGATAAGTAAATGTTGCGATGAATATGTGTATTTGTCTTATCAGATTCTGATCACTTTTCGCTACATCCTAGTACGCCGCCATGAAGGGCGTAAAGTCACCGGACTATAGCATAAACCTGCCTACCTTGGGTCCTGAATCTGCATGTCTCACCAGGCCGAGGTGTGTACCTACGTAGCTACGGATGTAGTCAGATTTAATATTCTAAACCATTTACTACCAATCGGTGGATTCTACAGGAGGAATCGGGATACACTGACCACCAGTTAGGAGACATAAGAAGAAAAACGGGAGTCATCAAGTTGGAAGGGGAACTATTCACAGATCATACATATATATATACATAGAAAATTCAGACTAGGGGGAGTTATACTTGGCCAAAGAATGGATTATAGAAGGAGAGAAACAGTCAAAATTGTATTGGAATAGTGGCATTTGTTTTCCTCGTTTCTTTATTACCTCTTGAGTGTAATAATGGCGGCGGTTGGGGGGGCGTTTTGGGGATAAAATGTTAGATATTGCATGTCATAGACTTAGAACTGCGTACAATAAATAGGCCCAGAACATGCAACACGGAGTGGATTCTAAATCTCCATATTTCTAGGAGCTGCTCCATAGACTTGATGGATAACTACTAACATGTATCCCTCCTAGTAACCAGCGATGATGGGGCTTAATGTACTAATGACACATGACATGAATATAGGAAAACGGATCCGAAGTGGGTAAGCAAATGCGTGTAATGGTTTACAGCGAACATTCGAATCCGGGCCGCGCGAAAAGGATTTAGATGCAATAAGGTATTGGATGTCTTTCTTCTGCAGCTTCTGAATGACAAGTCGTCTCACTTATATGCTGAGCTAGTTTAAATGCATTATTCATTCCAATATAAATATATTATCACAGAATGAGGTGGTTGGTATAAGCTAATACTTAGATACCGATATATCCTTAGATAAGTCGCGAAATTGGACATCTCTGGAGATGTAGCTTTCGCCTTTTGCGAGCTACTTTTGGTGCTTGTATAGCTACTTACACTCTTTTACTGGGTGCGTGAAAGTAGTCATCTGTAATTAAAGCAATTCGCAAGGTAATATTTTTTGGATTACAATGTATCTATGGGAATGTGTGTGTACGTATGTCATCGAAATATTGATTAAAATATGTTGCCTAGATGCCGGAGTACCCTGGACTCCGAAGGCTGATGGTAGAAACCCTTCTACTCATGATTGACTACTAAGGAACCATTGATTGGTTTTGACGTGAAACCAAGAGCATGGGAGGGAGCGGCTAGCTACTGTTTTCAAATGGAAGGACCGAAAGTAAGCATCATCACAGCAGTCATCCAAGCTAGTAGTAAGTCCGAAGGATGGGAAGAAGGGAAGCTATAACAACCATGTGTTGATAATTAAGTTCCTCTAAAACACGTGCTCCCTTTCTTATGATAATTACGATGATGAGGGGGCGATGTGGGGTGATCATGAGCACATGGGTGAAGAGTATGACATGACTATTGAGGGATGAACAAGTGGGGGTATCAACAGCGGATTGATTGGAGCTGAGAAGATGCACATTGTTTCAAAACATTCTTAGCATGCATGCATAGCGCATGGGAAGCTGTGCGGTTACCATGCGCTGAGGAGTGGGGGCCCTACCTAGGCCTGTGTGCGTCACGTCTAAGCACTCGACACAGGATTTTATTGCAAATTAATCGTAACCTCAAACAACCTGCGGAGAATGATGATCGGGTATTTGCTATAAGATCGGAAGCCTTCGTATTGATTAATTGTTCTTTTACATATAGGACCCTCCATAAAGTCATTTGACACTTATTTCTAGAATGTGCAAAAGTAAATATAGTACGAGATGAGCGTCATACCCAGCTGCACAGATCTACTGCAATGTCTTCTAGAGCACCCACTTCAATGGTAGTCTTGCTAGAAATGATAGGTCATAGAAATTGATTCTTGGGATTTACTCTCTTCGGGAATAGTTATTGCAGTACACCCACCAACTAGAATAATTTAATAAATAAAAACACGTGATCTGATCGATCATGAAGCAATCGAATAACTATATAGTACTATCGCGGTAGTAATAAGAAACTTATAGAGCTCCTACTGTCCTGGAGTTATAATCTCGGACAAATGTACGGTTGTTGTGACACCGAGGCCATTTAGTTACATATAGTCTTCTATGCTACCCATAACCGGGGTTTCAACACCACCACTAACGCGTTTCTCATAAAAACTCTTTTATAACAGCGAATTTCGATCGCAGGTCATGGAGTTATGGTGCGTCGATCCAGGAATGCAGGTGTCGAAGACGGGACTCGTGGGGGTCAGGATCACTAGATGTACATGTCGAGCTAAGCCAATGTGGGAATGTGCACTTTCATGGTTCGCTAAGGTACATGTACACATGTAGTTCGTGACTATGTGCTTGAGCACAGCTACATGCACTTATATGTACTAGAGTAGTCAGAGTGCTTTACCTTCGACAGTAGGACAATCGATGCCGTGATCTTCTTGAATTAAATCCAGATGTGAGGTTATATCTACTAAGCGTGAGTTCGGGGTGATTTCGGGGGAAATCTTATTGGGACAGTGCATGGGTGAGTGATATGTATGCTAAACAATCACGATAGAAGTTGAGAGCCACATTGTGGCCACTCTGCCCCTTAACTTAGGCCCGATATATAGATGAGAAATATGTATATCTTTATTGGGAACCGGTCCCTTGTTGTCATTGGTTCTGTGAAGGGTTGCCACGGGTGCAGTTGCTGTCATAGCAATGCACTAGGATCCCCGAGTGATGTCTTATGATTAGTAGCACGTTAGTTATAGCTATATAGAGCATTAGAAAAAGGACTACATGATATATTTATGCCTACCTTGTCGGTGATTAAATCTATTGAAACAACGTACCGGTTATAGGATCTGATAGAAGTATTCCAGCTTTTAGCCATGACGTCTCACGGTCTTGTTTGCAAGCCAACAAACAATCTCAGTAGAAACTCCATCGAACGTAGCTGAACACGTATAGCAATTCTGCACAAGGCTTTTAAAAAGTTATGTAGGTATGCAGGGCCTGAGCACAGACTTGGGTGATGCATGAGTTTGTTGCCAAAAGTTCTCAGCTTTCAGTGCCGATCGTCAATTTACATACATCGCCTCTCAAGGGCATCCTTAGATTGAAGTCTTCGCGCCTAGAGATTTGTACTGTTCGAATCCTAGTACTGTAAGTGGTCGCGATCAGATGTTATTCTGGGCGCCAAGGCCAAAATTAACGTTGAGTATTTATGATATCGTGACCTAATCAGGATAGGTGACCGGCTATTTCAACGTTATCGCGATAGAGAGACCCAGGTCACGCGAGGACGTAAGATAAGGCAAAAACTACCAGAGACAATTCATACAGGTGACCCCCAAACTTAAACCTTGGGCACGACCATGTCTGCACCATACCTACCCGTCAGACATCTATAGCAAGATTGGTTGCCGACTTGAGAAATATGCGGAGAAGTGGCGAAGAAGTTCTTCGCTTGGCCGCAGCTGCTGGGTAGCTACATGTAGTCCACGGATACAACTTTGTACCTACTTAAGCTCCAGGTATGTGTCAAAGATCGACCTATTGACTATTATTTAGCCTAGGGTGCAATAAACGCGTAAGAGTAGCCTTCAATTGAAGTAATAAGGACCTGTGACTTTAATTCTTTTTATTCTATAGCCGTGTTGTAGTCGTGGAGGTGTCTTTCTTAAATGTTGTAGGTTTCTGTGCGTTTCAAACCACAATGACCGACATCTTCGATGATGGGAGATATTAGATAATTTTTGATATTAACCTGAGCCGGGTTATCTCAATGCAATATCTGTTTTGCTCTTCGCCGCTTTTTCATAGCCACAAGAGGCACCGGGTAAAACACTGCAATAATGTCGATATCCAGTAAGATCAACAAAGTCTCCAGCTGCGTGGAACTAGCCAAAAGGCTCAAGGATGCCCGTTCAAAACGAAAGACTTATTTCTGCCCCCCACGTTTGACGCTCGGGCAAAACGGCCCCAAACCCCAATCGAAGCCCGTACGGCGATTCGACGCGCCAGGTAAAGATCACCTCCACGAATTGGATGGCGTTAAAGACGTACAGGGAACTTGGATCCGGGAGCCAGACAATTTGTGAACTTTTGTAATTGCAACATCGTATCAGGATAGGCCTGATCGATGGTCACCTATATGTATGTGTTTCCGCCTTCTTCGAGATGCGTAGAGTTGTCCATTCGTTTCTACCCGTTTTACCGAGCTCGCGAGACCAAACCCCAATGTTCCTTCAATACAACCTTTCGCAAAAATCACGCCCCCATTGATGTAGTAGCGTATAGGTCGATATGTATGTTGTACTCACGATCCTGTGGTTTGTACTTTCCCCGATGATAATCATTTCCACCCCCCCCCACCTTAGCGCCCCTGCAAGATGTACCCCCATCTAATTAGCCCGAATACCGAAAATTCAATATGATTTCCCCGGATTTGCCAAGGTATCCGTCGAAGTGGGACCTGTCCGGAAACCAGTTGAAAAAGACGCCTTTCCTGCAACGCTTTGATGTCGATGTGTATGTAGTAATAGTATCCCGCCTAGCCAGTCGCCCCCTTGTTTCCGAAACGTAAGAATAGGTAGCCATACAAAGGCGTGGGGAGCAATCTTTGAGGATGATGATCGGCGTGATACTTCTTTGATGTGGGGAAAATCCGCCTCCGTAGGTACATGATATACCTACCAGCCGTATCGATAAATCTCTCCCTGCAACATTTCAGCTTGCAAACAGACAAAATGCCGCAAGTACGAGAATAGTTTCATTTCCAAAGGAAGGAACGTTGTATATAGCGCGCCACTTGGTGATATGAGTATCACCAGTCGGTCACCCCGGGGATGTCCCCGTGGATATTCACATTCGATATACTTTATGTATGGGAGCTGATATCGTGGTTTGTAGATGAAAGATTCAGTGGCTGATCCAAGAGTTTCATGCAGAGATGCTTATACAGTACGTAAAAGGGTAACTATACTCTCAAGGTTAATCCCCGATATTTGACCATTGACAAGGATATGGAATAGTTAGTTGAGTAGTAATAACATACCAAATTCATACGATTTGTCCACATGGTCGACTGGTGTTACGATGGGCCGAGAAAAACCCGTGATGTTTTCTGGGGTGCAGCATGTAGCTAGAGTATGTACCCGTGTTAGTATTTGCGATGTAAAGAGATGGATGTTTATGGCGTATTGTCATTGGACCACAGAAAATAATACCTGCTTCCTGGACCCCTCGGATGTTCAATTGCAGTAAATTGTGTTGGGAGCTGTCGTGTCACTACTGTGCATTGAATTAAAGGTCACGATCATGTTCAAGATGTCTATCGTCGAGTAAATAACACAGATGTAGTAGTGGAGTAGTACGACCAAAAAAAAAAACTGTCCATAACGCCACTATTATATTACCACTGCGCAGCACGGTCCTCCTCCCCATTTATTTCTCTTCAAATCTCTGTCAGCACGATCATCGTCGAGATCAAAATAGTTCAATTGGGAATAAAACTGCCCAGGATCAGCGGAATAGTGCATAGGTAGTAAGAAAGTGAAGATTTGTCTAAAGAGCACAAGATCTCACAGGTTGTTTTCGAAACCTGAATCCAAGATAATCGTCCGAGGATGTCTGTGCCTTGGTTCCTTTTCGAAAGCTTACTGAATTATTGAGTACTACTTAGTTGGTAATATATGATCTAGTCGAGACTAGCTTATCTACTTGGTTCTATGAGCATGGAGCATTCATCCGTCTGTGTACCCCCACGCTTTCTGATTATAGTAGATTACTTTGCCGTGTTCCCTTAAATAGTAAATTAGTAATAGAATCAAGAAGGGAGGCCACCAATTAATGATCTTCTTCCTGACCAAAAGTACCGTGGTAAAGGGGAGATAGGCAATGTCTATGTTCTCAATAAGATTCCATCATGAGGTGAGAATTAAGTAGAAAAAAGGAACATACATGTACATGCAAGGGTATACAAGGACATCAGTCGATCCGGAGAGCCACTCCCCTCCAGTCCCATTGCTTCGAGGTGATTATTGATAACCCTTGCATGGTGATGTAGTCAAGTTGAAGTTCCAGTGAAGGTGGTTGGTGGTTGTAAATCATTCGAATCCAAACATGCGGGATCCAAGCTGTGGCTCAACTTTGCTCATAAGGATTGAGGCTTAAGCGAAGTGGCATCATAATAAGAAAACAAGACTCTAGCCACTTTCCCGCTCACTTGGTTAGGTGCGGATAGGTCTCACATTGAACGTCAAGTGGCTCCCCATTTAGGAAGTCGGAACGAAGTGTTTATTATTTTGAATTCCCAAAGAATTGCATCTTTTGCTTTTTCGTATCTCATAGAGTCTCCGTGACCTTTGTCTCCTTTCTTTTCCCCTCTCCTTTCCGGATTCTATCATGCGGACCCGAAAGAGCTCTTCCGGAAACCCGAGTCGACCCTGGATTATCAAGCAACATCGTCGTTAAGGCAGTACTTTTACTATTAGAAGGGCTTCTGATAAGGCAGCTCCAGCGTGGGAGGACAAGGCTGTGTGTTCGGTCTTGCTTCTTTAAATTGCATTGCAGGGCGGCCTGCCTCGAGCCCGCAAGGCAATAGCATTGGTTGGTGTCAAAAATCTTGGGAATAGGAAAACCCGGGGAATTGGAATTGAGCGAGAGCTGCCGCGATTGGCGAATCTCGCACATGTGAATACTTACTCTTCCGGAATGTTTCGAGACAGAGATCTCTCTCCTATTTCTTTTTGGTCCGGATATCTGTTGCTCAGTACTGTACTTGGTAGCAATCACGGGCTTGTCTTGGCAATATTTCAAGGGCAACCAGAATGACGTTCATAGATCTGTCAACATCGTTGGTCCCAGACGGAATTTTGTGTGGGGGTTGAAAGAAAGAAAAAAAACCCTTGAATTGTACGACGGTACACGTTATACAGAGGGGGTTGAAGGAGGCTCTGTTTACGAATTCGATGCTGATTACACTCGGAACTAGGCTTGTCATTGGATTTTTGTCCGGTGTGAGCAGGAAACCCTGCGATTAGTACCTACAGTAGATCCTCGACAAACGTTCTCAGGAACCGGACCTTTCGACGCGTTAACGGCGTGTGGGGGGATTTCTTTTGCTGTCCAAGAAGGAAAAAGAAAGGAAATGAGAAAAAGAAAAGAATTTGAACCACCTCAAACAGAACAGAGAAAAAAAAACATCAAAGCTAATCATAGATAACTGTGAAGATCGGAAAAACCTTTTCCTTGGGGTTTCTTACCGCCATGTCATCAGTCATGTGAGGTAGCCTTCCGACATCGCATCAAGGACGATGGTTATCAAAGTCACATCCACCGTAAAGATCCGGCGAAGGAGGGTTCAGATTGTAACTTATTTCACTCTCAGCTGGAATGACTTCACCTTCAGCCTTACTATCGGCAAGCTACCACACAGTAACGCACTTATGTACTCTAGTCCCTACGAGTTCAGTCTCACATACAACACTTAGCAACTTCTAGAACCGGCACTATAGCCCGGGAAATAGGTATCGGACTTTAGCCCTGTGCAATTAGAAACAAAAACGAGAGTGGTATTCTTTTTACTCATGTGTCATTCAATGCCAGTTGTCAATCGATAAGTGTACAACTGTTCGAGTTGGCATATTGATGATGTTTTTTAAATAAGGGATTTAAGGAAAGCATGGGCCATGAGGAGTCAATAGTGATATCAAACGGCTATCGTATTTAGATTCCGTTGGGATTGATATGTCTCGTTGAGGGCGGATTAGAATCGATCCTGCATTGGTTATGTGCAAAAGTCTTACTCTCAGTAAGGGTAGCCTGAAGATCTATCTAAAATTTGAGAATATTGTTTGATTGTAAGATTGCACGCGAATGCAAGGTAATTAAAAGAGTTGAATAGGGCTTCTGAATAGGGCTTCCATGGTTCACTACAATTAGTTAAAAAAAGAAAATATGCTTCGATAGACGAAAAAAGCTCTAGACATTCGTAACTGCGCGTTTTGGCCTGCTCCATATTGCTTTGTTAAAAAAACGTCATCAGGAACAAATGAATCACGAGCCTCAAAGATTATGTATGGTAGATACTTACCTACTTTATTGAGAGGTTTGTAGCGACAAGGAAGGTCCGCAAGCACGGGCCTGATCCGCGGCGAGTTACGCTGTCCCTTGAACTGCGGGGTGCATCCTGTTGTGTACCTTGACGGGGGGTTCAGTTTGCTGGCCAAAATCACCATTTCTATTGCTGTCCATGTATGTGTGTCCTTGCGTAAGCGGCATTCAAGTACTCTAGAGTGTATGTTGTACATACATACTCGAGAAAGTAGATGTGTGGTTGTAGAGTAGTCTCGAACGCGGCCAGTATGGGAGGTTGATGTGCCTGTCAGACTGCTGCAGAAGACCCGACTCAGGTTTTCAATTCTGTAGGTACATGTAGGTACATTCCATGCAGGTTGTGACCTTCCACTGCTGTGTTCTGGTGGCCGCTCTTCCTCCCCTCTCCCCTTTTTTTTTATTTATTTGAATACGGAAGTACTTGACGACGGCTGTGACGAATCAAATCCTGTTATATGTTCCTGGATTAAGCAGATGCGGTTGGATGCACGCCGTGCTGCGTGACACCCCGCCTATGGTTCTTTCACACTTACCTACCCTCGTTCATTTCGGTACAAGATACCCTCCTAAAGTCTCAGAGAGGGAAGAAGAAAGGGAAGGATAGGTAAGGCAAGAAAAGGAGCAAAGGAGTGCCTAGGTCTAGGTCTAGGTCTAGGTATGTCGTCGATACAAACACTTTGGGCACTCTGTCTAAGATACCTTCTTACATACGTACAGTACCGTACATACTTCATACATACATACATACATACATACATATAGTATCAAACAAACGAGAGAACTACATACATGTAAAGGAGGGAATCAAGTAGAGTAGACATCCGGGCGACATAGGTATTGGGAAGTTTACAAGGACGTGAAGGCAACTACCCCCCAAAAGAGGAAGCATGTTTCAAATATTGGCACTGGCACCGCACAACGCCCCACGGTAACCCCCACGCCAGCACGCACCACCACCGTGAACCACGACCCAGCTCTGCGG